CCAAACAAAAAGGTTGAATTAGTACCTAGAGACATATTTGAGGTGCATGTGTATGGATTGTTTAAGAAGGTGGCATAAGTGGTTGCATTTAGCACAATGGTGGTATAACTCTAGTTTCATTTGGTAATTTAAATGTCTCCATTCTAGGTTTTAAAAGGCTACCCACCTCCAAATAGGAAACTTATTCTACATGGAACATCTATAGTTATTGTTGTTAAGGGATTAGTATAGGAAAAGAAAGCCATGGACTTGTTCTTGGGTGCACAATTATGAAAGGCACAACATAAAATAAAGTATATTGCTTATCAATAGAGATTAGGTCTATCTTAAGCTTCAACCTTATAAGCAAGTCAAGTATAGCATTGAGGAAAAACTTCAAGTTAAATCCTATTCCATTATGCAAAAGGTGGGACAGGTGGCTTATAAGCTAGAGTTACCTTTGAATGTTCTTGTTCATCTTGTTTTTCAAGTTTCACTATTAAAATAGAAGGTGGGTATTAATATTGTTGTTGCCACTGCTTTACCCCTATGGATGGTGAAGTTCACATCAAACTTTATGTTGTTATTATTTTGGATAGGAAAATTATAAAGAAAAACAACCGAGTAGTAATCATGGGGCTCATCTAGTGGATCGGCATGCCAATCGAGGATGCTACATAGGAAGTGGTGGAAGACTTTGAGCTTTAGTTTCCAGATTGTTGCTTTGATCCTCGAGGACAAGGATCCGTTTGAGAGGGAGGCAATGTTATGAATTGTTAAGTTTAATTTGTAATTAGGGTTGATTGGAAGAGAAAATAACTAGCTATAGTTAATATGGTAGTTATTGAAACTAATTAGATGAGGTGGAAGGTTAGTTAGCTTTGTGGGATAGTAACAATAAATGCGTAAGTAAGGGATTTTTCATTTCATTCATTTTTAATCACAAAAGAAGTCAATTCAAAATTCTTTCTCGACCTAGTTCTTTTTTTCTTTTTTTCAGATTTCTTCTTCAATTCTTCTTTATTAAGTCCAAGTACTTAACACAAAACATCACCCTCCTATGAATACAAATTTACAAGCTTTAAGGAAAGGAAGATATTTTTGAATCTCCCTAATAACAAAATAAGGGTATGAGCATATTTAACCTATTGCAACTTGGTGCAGGATTTAAATAGATCAATCTCCTTGCTCTCATTTTCAAGATCATCTAATGTAACTCGCAACAAATCTATAACAACTTCCATTTCGGTTAAGAAGAGGAATATAATTAGACATGTCGTCGAAATTGGGGAAAATTTTTAATGATAAGCCACATGGAATCCTAGGTGGTTTTTAATCTTTGTTGTCCTTCTTCCGCCCCCATCACATCACATCACTCGAAAATAGAATTTTATTAAAAAACATTCTCTCATACTAATATGGTTATTAGAAGTTTAATTCATTTCTTTTCTATCCAATATTAAAAGAATATGCTAAAATAATTAAGAAAATATTAAATTCATGATTCAACGGTACAAGCCTTATAAGAATGCAACATATAAACTATATTTATTTATTTATTTTAATAAAAAATCATGTTCATAAAAATTTATTCAAAAATCCAAACATAAAAAAATTATATTTGTAAATAAATAAAATTTAACAAAAAAATTAATTGGTTGTGAATTTTCATAGAAAAATGATAAATTTTAAAATATATGTTAAGTCTAAAATATGAAAACACGTCATTAATATTCTTTTCTCGTTAGGTCATTGAAAACTCAAAAAATAATTATGATTTTTTAAAAAATTTAAGCACAAAATCAAATAATAAAAAGACAAAAAAAAAAAATTGAAGTTAGGTCTTGGGCTTAGGCCAAGCCTACGCGTGAACGAGTTGGATGTGAGCAAGCCAATACTAAAAAAAAAAAAAAAAGTGAAATGGTTGACATGTTGCTTATGCAATACGTAATAGACGATGCATCGACTCGTCCGTAACTTTTGATTCATCATATAAATTTATTTTTTTAAGAAAAATAATCATATTCTAAAATTTTATTTAAAAATCCATACCCAAAGGACAATAAATCATGTTTATCAACAAATAATATTTAAACAAAATAAAAATTTAAATAAAAATTAATTGGATGGCAACTCTATAAGAAATGACAAATTAAAGAAATAAATTTTAAACAATAAGAATAATATAATCTAAAATATATGTTTATTTTAAATTATAAAAAAACATTTATATATATTTGTTTCTCATCGATCGCACAAAAAAAAATAATAACATCCGATATTGTAGAATATTCACCTAAAAATCTTTAGAAAAAAATTAGAAAAAAAGAAAAGAAAAGAAACCCGACTAATAGCCGAGCTCGCACGCTTAGGCGTGGAGGAGCAAACCCTATTAGGAAAGTTTTTTTTTTTTAAAAAAAAAACTACAATTTCTAGTAAGCCGGTGTTCATTAGAAACATTGCCGAAAATTTGTGTTTTTGGTTTTCGACTTCGCAAAGCCAAATTTTGTCCAATTTTTTTTTTTTTCAAAAACAACTTAATATCACAAAAAAAATGTAAAAAAAGAAGAAGATTATTTTAGAGTCTCAAAATTCATTGCTTATAATCCAATAAAATATGACATTATGAATAGCTATACATATTACTTATACTATTTTTATGTAGTCGATGTGAATATAATAATAGATAAATTATAAATTACTCTCTCTTATTTTGAGAAACGAATTAGTTAGTCATTTTGATTTTAAAAAATAATTGTATAATTGTTTTTTAACCAATGCCGACGACGTCTAATTTATTTATTTATTTTTTTCTAAAATGTATTATTCTCTCATCAATTTTTTTTATGTTTTTATATATTTTTTATTTCTTTTCTATTTCTTAAAATAAAAAGTAAAAAAATAAAAAATCACAAAAATCACAAAAAATAATTGTTAAACTCAGGTAGACTAATTAGTTTGTTTCTCTACGAAAGAGGGATTAATTTGTAATTTACTCTTTGAGTCTCATCTCCTCTCACAAAAATAAGGGGGGCAAAAACAAAATGACATGAGTATTAAATGCTTTATCAGAAAAGAAAAGAAAAGAAAATGATGGAAAAAAAAGCTAAAAGAGAAATAAAAAAAATAAGGAAGAGAATCAATTATGGATAAATGTAAATTTTCACAAATTCATTGAATGACAATAAGAGTAATTAAATACAAAAGAGTGGGTCATTTATAATGCTGAGGAAAAGAGAAGGAAAATGACGAAAAAGACTATGAAAGAAAACGTAAAAGAGAATCAATATTATAAATATATATATATATATATATATATATATATATATATATATATATATATATATATATAGCTTTCCAAGGAAGTAACTCTTCCCCTCGGTGTAAGCATCCTTCAACGGAACTCAGAGTTCCTTCAAAATTACCAATATTATCAGAAAAAAATTAGCTCTCCATCTTGCCTCATCATCATCATCCTCCACCACGTCAACATAAAAACCTGAAACAAGTTGCAACTCCAAATTCCAATGATGCGTATCTCTAACGAAAGCCAATCGACCAATAAATACTCTTATCATGCAATATGCAACCAAGATATCACCACACTATATTTATCCCTCGCTAACTGTAAAAGCTCAGAGTCTAGGAAATTTTGTAGGGAATGACTGAAACTCTGACGTGGAAGACAAAAGAGAAGAGTTTTTGTTCTAACTTGTAGCCTGACGTGAAAAAGGCATAATCCAGCTGTAAACTGAACTCCAGCAAACCATGAATCTCCTTTTGTATGGCATGACCCAAAACGTCCTCGAAAGTGTTGGCCATTCCAAAGATTAAGGTCTAAGCACACCCATGGCATTGTCATAGTAAATAACCAACGGAAAGCATGTGGCCAACCTTTTTGCAAAGTAATACGACACATCCGCCGCATAGGTATTGTGTTATGCTAGCAGGAATTACACACAAATGAATAATCTATATATAACGAAGCCAGCCACGCGCATAACGTTTGTCGTTCTAAACAAAATTCAATAGTAAAATAAACAACTCATAAGAATCCACAATTCATGCTACAATCGGAAACCCTTCAAATCAAAGTGAAGCAATCCAGGAAGAAGCAGAACGAAATATGAATTTTTTCCTAGATTAAGAAAATTGTATCGACTAATTGAAAAGAATTCCCAAAGCAAGATGGTGAATACAAGTCATCCTCAAAAACGTGAAAGCAAAAGCAATATCATAAAAGAGAAGCCCAACCTGCTGAATGTGGCCAAGGAAATTCCCCTAAAAGCATACTAATCATGATGCTACGAAGAAGAAATGAAAACTATCCCATCCACAACAATGGTCTCAAAGTGCACTGGTTTTTAAAAATTCTAGCATCTCTCCAGCCAATGTTCTAACAGAAGAAATTTCATTCACAGGGGTTCCCTCTCTATTGCTAGAATGGCATTTGCTCTGAAAAGAACTTTAAGTACCACTCACAGAGCGTTGGAAAGTGTTCCTCTAAAAAAATATTGAACTTTGGAGACAAGTCTCTTCCTCTTGTATGCACATCATGGAGGTTGGATCATCTCAAACATAACAAGAATGCATCATCTTCCGAGTCATGGGAGATTGACAATTCATCAACAAAATCATGAATATTTTAAAAACATAACATTCCAAACACAAGAAACACAGGCCAACAAGAAAACATGTATTGCAAGTGAAGCCAATAGTTTTAACATTTGGAGACAATCCTCAAAAGGAATGATCAAAACCATTCCTGTAGTAACAACGTATGTGTTACAGCTCTACAAAACTCAGTTCTCTTTTCTTTATTCCTTTGATTATCCTTGGTGAAACTTCACCATGTTTCCACATCAATACTAATAACTTAAACGAGAGCAGTAAATTACTAACCCCACTACATTAAACGAAATGGAGGGTTATTACCCAAAAATCCTCTGTCTTTCCTTCTCCATCCGAGAATAGTTGAATTCTCCAAATCATTATTACCTCAAAACTTCAAAAACCAAAACTCAATTCTTATCGTTCGACCCAAAAAGCTTCATCCTTGATAACGAGGTCCTCAAATACCCTTCCACCTCAAACTTCTTTGGCGAAAGCTCCCGATACTTGGCAAACTGCTCTTTTGCCTCCTCATTTCTGTCAAGCAAACTATATATCATCCCTCTACAAAAATAAGGCCTGAAATCATTAGGATCCTCATTCGACAACTCTTGATAAATCTTCAACGCCTCCTCCACATTCTTTTGCAGAAACTGTATTTGTGCCATAATCAACCTAACGTCCCTCGCTTCCTTCACTTTATTCTCCTCTTCCGCAATATCCAAAGCCTCTTGTAACCTCGTGATAACCGCCTCTCCTTCTCCACTGCGGTCCATCAGTAGTGCATTCTCAAACAATGCCTCAAAAGAAAAAGGATTCGCAGCAAGAATTTCTTCAAACACATTGCGAGCATCTTGGGCCCGACCCATTTCGTTCAGCAATCTTGCCATCAAAAACTTCCATTCAGTTACCTCCGGTTGGGCAGATACCAACTGCTCTAAAATCTTTAAAGCCTCATCATCTTGGCCCTTTTCAAGCTTTTGTTGTAAAAGTGATTTTAGAGAATCAATAGCTTCGAATTGCGTTGATGGGTCACTTTGGCTCTGGTTTTGAAGTTTATCTGTATCTTCTTCTTCTTCAAGAGTCGGGTTTTGTTCAGTGAGAGCTGCAGGGGTTTGGGCTTTTGCAGGCAATACAGGGAATTTAGCAGCCATGGAAGCTGCGACACCAATCAAAATAGCTGTTTTGGTGAGGTTTTTGAGGGTTTGGGTTAATGGGTTTTTGAAAGTGTCATTTGAGGAGGAGGAGGAGGCTTTTGCTATTTTGAGAGAAGGGGTAGAAGTGGAATTGTGAGATTTGAGAGTGGGGAAATGGAGAAGTGAAGGTGAGTTGAAGGAAGGAGGTGTTTTGAGGGGGAGAAAAGATGTGGCTAAAGTGGAGTTCATGGCTGGCGGAGAAAGAGGATTTTGAAGCAAGCAAGCTTGTTTTCCTGCTAGTTTTGAGTGAGAACGTTTACGGTTGAGGAGAAAACGATGAGTGTTTTGGCCTTTTAGGTGGACGTGGTTGGTAAGAAATGACGGGAAGTTAGGTGTCCGAATAGAGCCTAAAAGTAAACGCAAATTCAAATTTATTATCGTCTTCCAAAGTTCATGTTTTGCTGTTTGCCAAATTCAAATTCAAATTATGTTGAAATACAAAATTATCGTATAACTCCATGTTCGTTTGGTAGAAACCTTTTCGGTTTAACCACGTCAAACGTCCCCTTTATTGTTGATATTTATTTAATGTGAACTTTCTATTTTTTTTTATTTATCACATTCTTTTACTCTTTTTTTTTTTTTAATGTAACTCTTCTTATTAAAATTTGATGATTTTTCACCTCGTATGGTAATTTTTTACCATATGTCATTATCAAAAAAAAAATAATTATCAAATTTCAGTGAGAGAAGCCACGTTAAAAAAAATTAAAAATTCCAAAAAAGTAATAAATAAAAAGAATAGAGAAACTATATTACAAAAATATCAATAATAAAGAGTCGTTTTATACTACTAAACCAAACCGCTTCAATAGAAATCACTTAAAAAAAAAAAAATCTGTCAAGAAAGAAATAGAAAAGAAAATGAAATGAAATCATTACACATGATTTTGGTAATATCTTTAATGTCAACTGTCCTTTTTAATTAAGGTTTTTAAGGATTCTCAAAGGAAAGTAGACGAAAGAACAACATTGAAATTGTTAGATAATGTTAAAGATTGATTTAATTGACTCATAAAAAAATAACATATTTTATAAATGAGATTATAAGTGCGCTTTTCTAGTTAATCCCATAATTTAAAAAGCATACAATACCCAACCAAGGACGAACATTTAATTTTGATCTTAGCTGGAAGAGCCAGATAGCTAATCTACTTCCCAAGGATCTCAAGTAGGTAAACCTTTTTTATTCCCTGTGTTTTTAATGAAATAATTAGTTAATTTTTTTGTTCTAAAATTCTAATATCGAATCCTAAGCCTTTTCTTTAAGTTTCCTTTGGCAATTTTATTGTTTTTCCTACAATGTTCTTTAATTCTAGTGAGTTTTCCAATCTCACCACCTAATAATAATAATAATAATAATAATAATCACATTTGAAAAGGCAGTTTGGATATTTAAAAAAGAACCAACACTAAAGTCTGGTCAAGGACCTAACTTATAATTTTAAAAACCAGAGGCACTAACTTATAGAACCATAAAAAAATCAAGGACTATATTATAATTCTCTCCAAACCCTATATACTCAAAAGCATTTACAATCGAGGAAACGAAAAGAGATTTGTTTACAATAATTTCATGTTCCTAGCCTCTTTGCACCACATTCCGAACAGAACTTGGAGGTTTCTCTTAGATAGGGAGCTCCACATTCATCACAAAACTTTGCTGGACTTGTAGGCTGCAGTTTTACGAAAGGTTAGTAAACAGACTTCTGCTGTTTTCTAACTTCAACGTAAAATTTAAATGCACTTTTCAACTATTTATATGGACCAATGCACAAAGAACAAGAACTGGAAATATGAAAGAATGATTTAACATCCCCACCCCCAAAACAATAATACTAAGTGCCTCAAGCACAGTTTTCTTTAGAAGTGCCAGTTAGCTTTGTTTAGGTTTGTACAGAAGAATTTGGATCATCAAATCTTGCCCTTGCAAGGATTCCATGGGGGCAGCAGGGGGTTCCAATTTCCAAGAGGAATGAGGAGAAGGGGAAAAACTAGAAATGAAAAAATGGATTATACTCGTAAAGATGAAGCACCAATCTTATTTACAATAAATTGTGGCAGGTTGCAATTGCTCCGTCACATGTTCATGAGAGGATATGTACGTTCCAGGATATTGACTATGCTGCATATACAAGACCGCCAAGCAAGAAGAATGCAAAGGAGAAGAAGAAAAGACCCAAGTAATGATTGCTTGATGCGATACCATTTTTTTATCAGATTATGCATGAATTTACTTCTAAAAATGAAGAACCAATCATATAACACACATTTGGAGGAGAACAAAATAAATTGAATTTGTCACATTGGGAAGCACAGTTTAAAAAGCATCTCATCATGCAACAATTTTCCGTATTTTGTGACAATATGGTTCAAAATGATGGACGCAATGTGAGGGGAAACTATTCTCTTTCATCCTAAGTGTTGACAGAACCAAGTTTTTCCTCACTAGAAACTCATCCAACTTGAATCCCCAAGCTACACCAATGATACCAGGAATATCACATTATGATTAAGAAATCCTATATTGGTTTTGGGACTGATGTATAAGTGAATCTCTTTGACACCATTGAGCATAACAAAGAAATAGAAATTTCACCTTTCCTAGTGCCATTCCAAGCTTGAGATAGCGTACTCATTGTCATGACATAATTAGACTGTTAGCAATGTTTAATTCATTAGGAGAAGTACAGCAGCAATCTGGAGGGTGGGATTATTTTATTTAGGTATGACATAGGAGCATTGTCTAGTGCAACAGAAAAAATATGTTATGCTTGCAACCAAGATGGTTATAGATCTAAGGCATCAAGAGCCACTTCATGCAAAACTAAAGACAGATAGAAATTGAGTGTTAGGAACCCTATCTAGCTCGACTGTAATTGGAAAAGGACTGTCCATAACCTAGGAGCATATATTCATCAGCAATAATAAGGTTGTTTTTAATTAAAGTAAGGACCTCGCATGGCATTTTCTCAGAACTTGTATTTACTGAATCATTAACTGAAACAGAAGGGGAAGTCCTATCAAAGAAACCTCACCATTAACTGCAGGCGCCCTCCAACATGGCCTCCTGTTATGGGCTGCAAGTAGGCCATGTGCTGAGAAATGGTAGGAGACTGGCTAGCATGAGCAATTTCAGGCATGTGTGGAGAAAAGTGGGTTGCATGCTGACTTTGATGAACTTCTTGATGATGGTTCTGGTGTATTGGGTGAAATTGAGGTTGATGTGACAATGGTTGCACATGATGTTTCGTAGGAGTCTGCTGCTCATTTTGTGGCTGCAAAAATCAAAAAGCAAGAAAAAATGAGCTAATAAATCCCCACAATATAGTCTACTTACAAGCATCAGTTCATATGAGAATCTCGTATGTTAGCAGAATGTCAAACAAAGAATATGAAAGTGAAATGTGTCAAATAAAGGGGAGTGACATTTTTTATTGCATATTCCCTCCACGTGAATTTACAGAAACTAAATCTGAATGAAAGAAGTCTTCCATATCTTAAACAGCCTCTTTGTTCTAACATTTGTATCTTAGAACTCTTAGAACGAAGCATTGAATCCAATTAGACGTCAAAAGGTAATTCTGGCAAACAATACAGCCAGCATAATGATTCTGGCAATAGATTGTGATGCAAAAAAGGAATGTTGCCAGGAATCATGATCAATAGAGAGTCAAAAGAAGCTTCATGAACATAGTTCAGTTTTAAAATAAGACAGCTAAAGGACATTCATGGTACTACTTTGGTAGATAGCAATAATATACTATCAGACAAGGGGCTTAGTGTAATGATGAATTCTCGTTGCTCAGAGTGCTACAATCAATTTCTAAGATATTTCTCCACAAAAATCTCCTTGGTTAGCCAGCAGCTTTAAGTAACCATCACAAGTAGCTTCTTAGTATAGCACCTGTAAGGAAGGACATGTATTTTTTTTTTTTTTTTTACTTTGTAACGAAAATCTGGAGTAAAAATTATAAATTAGTCCCTCTAGTTTTGAAAAGCAAATTAATTAGTCCCCCTATTTCAAAAACTAATTATTTAGTTGTTGCTGTCCATTTTATACTATTTTCTAATTTGGTTTTTTTAAAAAAAAACAAATAGAAAAATGAAGGAAAAAAAAGCTATTATGGAAAGACTAACGAGAAAAGAAAACATTTTTCCAAGATAAAGTAATATTAAATTAAGCGTGATCAACGCTAGTCAAAGCACTATATATTTAGTTTTTGAAACAAGGGGGACTACTTAATTTGTTTCTCAAAACTAGAGGGACTCATTTATAATTTACTTCGAAAATCTGTATTTGGGTTAATTATTTGTACCTGCACTGCACCAGAGAATTTATTCTAAATTAACTGCAGAATACCATGACTAAGATTTTGAAGACCTCCTACCAATCCTAGATAGTAGATAGTATCCTGATTTTGACTTCCTAATTGTCTAGACGAAGTCGATACCAACAAAGAATAAACATACCCATGGTAATGCTTTCCAAGAATGGTCAAGGAAAATAAGCAAAACAATATAAGATTTTCTGAATGTATTTTTTTACAGCTGATTACTTTCATACTCCTAATTAAGGCCCATGTACACATGCATATGTTTACCTGATAGGCATCAAAATATTTACAACCCTGCATAGAAGCCGAGTCACAGTAACTGCAAAAAAGAAGCTAAATCATACTTCACTTACAGAGCGGAATCCTTGTGCAGTAGCCATTGTAGAAGGATTATCTTCTGTAGAAAGTGTCTGAAAACATAAAAATACGATTGTCACATTCACCTTCAAAGTAGGATCAAGGTTCATGACAAGGAAGTTTTTATGCATACAGTTAAATAAGTCTGCCATCATGTTTCACACAATCTAGTGAATAAGCTCTTCATTTCTAATGCGAGAAATGCAAATTATGTCAACCATCATAATGGAAAGGTGATGCAACTACTGAATTGACAACATTTAAGCAACGCCTGAAAATAAAATAAAAAACAGCTCCCTTATTCCTATATCAAATTATTGAGCCATTTTTGGATGGTGGATTGTGCATGGGTATGCAAAGTCAGAGACAGATGGTCCTTTTATCATCAAAAGAGCTGCAAGCTAGACCCACAACTAAAATAGGGTAGATCAAAGCTTGCAAGCATAGCAGAGATTCAAACTTACAGCCAAACCAGGAATATTAGACAAAACACGCCTGTACTTGTGCCTTGGAGAGTAGAATTTATAATCTCGAGCAGAGACAGCTACTTCATTCCGACCTGTTAATCGTCTAAACCTGTAACATGAGCATCAGAGTCAGAGAGAAGCAGAATTTCTGCAAACCTCATCTCCATCCTAAAGTTTGTCGTCCATTTTTCAGAAAACACATTGTTCGAGGGATTTAATTTACCCTTAGGACTCTTAATGCCAAATCCAGCAACCTCTATAGCTCTCATGGTGAACTTCACTCTTTGGTTTAACTGATTCCTTAATCCTAAATGGAAAATTTGTAAGCTGGATCAGTGTTAATCCATCTAAGTCCAGACTATTAGAGACAAACCTAATTCCTAAAATATTCAGGTAAGCAATTAAAATCAAAAGACACACAACAATTTTAATGCCATAATTTTTTACCCTCCCATAAAGGGTTACTTTCTAAAACTCATAGCTGACCAGTCACCACCTGCATTATGGATCTGTTCTTCAATCTGGATCATATCTATCATGTAACAAAAAGGCTCGCTCAAGCAGGCCACATAGAAATTGGGGGATTACATAAAATTGGTTTCTGACCTGGCAGCATATTTCTTTATTGAGTTTCCCATGAAAGGTCCCAGTCAATGGTTTCTGTGTGATGATAACTAAACCCCCTAATTCCAATATTGCAATTATGCTAGCTTTAGACAGATAATTTCAACATTCAATTTTATATTGCACAGCTCACACATTAAGATATACTTGATGGTTTCACAGAAATAGAAGATATAAAAGAACCACTTTCATTTCTTTCTCCAAATAAGTAGAGTATGATCTTTTCATAGAATGTCCTTTTAGTTCAGGATACGACTATAGAACCAATATTTGTATCTTAACAACGAAGCTCTTTGCTTAGTGGTTGCAATGTCTGCATAATGAAGCAGTGGGAACCTTTTATATTGGCTTCTCTATCCAAGTCTTATCTTTTCAATAAATCTAGGCTTTTTCAGAGCCCTCTTGGAACCAAAAATCTGTTATAGCCTCTCCTTGTGGCCAAAAATCCCTTAAAATTTCCCCCAAGATAAAAACTTTGATTTGGCTTTTAAGATGTTCAACATTTTTATAAGATACAATAATTGCATCTAAATAAATGTCCATTTGGCTTGAACCCAATTCTTGATCCGCATAACAAAGAGTAGGAATCAAAGAATAAAAATAGTGCAGCAAAGAAGCCGTGATACTGAAATCTATGAACAGGAAACACTGACAATAAGAAGGGAAAAGTTAAAGGGCCAACTTACCACTCAGCATCTTCCATAGGCATGCTGCTTGGTCTCTCAACTATATCCAAACCATTGACCACCACAAAGCGAACTCTCTTCTCTTCTTGTATTACTAATTCTGGAAATCTGGTCCTTGTCTCAAGAGAAGTTGCCAATTCTCTTCTTTTAAATATACAAGAACCTTCAGCAAATAGAATAATTAGAATCCATTAACTTCTACTTTTTGGAATTTCCTTATCTCTACGCATGGCATGTACTACAAAAAGAATAAGACTGCTTCCTTTTACTGCAATTCACTGATAAAACAGTTCAGTTGTTCAACTAAAAAGGCTCATGAAGAAGAAAAAACTTGTACTACCTTTTTTAGGAAATTTCTTGGCCATTCTTCTATACAAACCACCAGCAGCTTCAAGGGCTACTCCAATGGTCTTATCACGAATACCATTCAAAGAAGCCAGTCTCATATTCACATCATTCACTAGAGTTTCGTACACATTAGCAACATACATCAAAGGCAAAGCGAACCTCGGATCGCCTTCATATTGCACATCTCCAGATTTCCTCTTAGTTAGTTTATCTTGTCTCGAGTTACCAGCATACTCTGACTCATTATCAGCCACTTCAATCACATGGTCACTAATAAAGTGATCCACAATTATTTGCAAAAATCTTGCTCTGGCAGTTTCGATAGGTGAAACATCTGCTTCAAAACTAATCCAATTGTAAACAAGAATATTTGAAAACGAAGTGTAAATGGTTTAATTCTGAACTTTGCCTACCCTGAATTGTCAATATATCATATGCACCTCCAGAAGACCCACTATTCTCAAGGCTAGTGTGATCTTCTTCGACTCCTACACTGTGAAGTGGTAAGGAATTCCTATACGAATCATGAATGCAGTCCTGCAATACCAAAACTTACATAGAATTTATTAATTGCACATAATTTTTTAGGAAAAAAGGGAACGTGTCTGCTTAAAAATCAAGTCCAAGAAAATATTCTTGACATCGTTGCGGCGGAGAGACCATCGAGATGTGCTTTGGTATGAAAACGCATCTGCCGGGTGTGTGGTCCACCTATATGTATACTCATTTTTTGAAAGAAAAACAAAAACTTAAAAAGAAGGGAAAAAAAAAAAAAAACTAAAGGCGACCAGAATAAAAAAAAATATTTAGAAAAAGTTTAGCTTTTCTTTTCCCTCAGAAAACGAAACAAACAAAGAAAAATACACTCAATTTAGAAAATAATCATTTATTGATGGACGGGAAGATATTAAACAGAAAGAACGAAGGGGCGCGCGGGAGGGGAGGGGGGTTGACTTACAACAGCATCGGAATCATCGTCGGCGTTCAAGGGATGATCGGCGCCGGCGGAAATGGAATCGATGTTCGAGGGACGAGAATCGACGGTGTTGAGATCATTGGGAGAATCGGTGGCAATGAAGGAATCAGCTGATCTCAAGTTGTAGTGTTGCACTGGAACCCTACTCCCCATTAATTCTACCACTGCATTGACGAAGTTATTTGTGTTAGAGAGAGAGAGAGAATTAGCGGGAGGAGCAGGCAGGCAGACATATTTTTTGTTTTTGGTTTGGAGAAGAGGAAGTTTTTATAACGGCTATACAGACTGAGAGAGAGAGAGAGAGAGGGAGAGACAGAGACATACCTGAGAGTCTGAGACTGAGAAGAAAACTAAGTGTCCAAGCCTCACTCCGATCTCCGCACCTGCTTCCAACCCGCTAGGTTTTGTCGTACCCTTTGATTTATGAGATAATCTCAAATTAGTCCCCAACTTACAATTCTTTTCTCGAATGAATCACCAAATTATTCTTTCTATTAAGAGTCCCCACCATATCTAGGAATCCTCATTTTAATCTTTCCATTCACAAATATGCCTCCCTATCTCTACAGGTTGGTAACCCAATTGACAAAAAAGAAAAAAAAGGCGCATTTGTTGAAAGGATCTAATTGAGGATTCTTAAATGCATTGGGAGTCAATTGGTTAAAAATATAGGTTGAGAGCTCAAATGAGAAAAATTTATGTCATCCAGACTAATATGAGCTTACTCCTTTATTTATCTAAGTAGCCCTGATTTTGGAGGATTAAAAATATAGGTTGAGAGCTCAAATAAGAAAAGTTTATGTGTTTGAGGACCAATCGGAGCTTTAGCTTTTATTTATTTAAGTAGCACTGATTTTAGAGGATTTTTCTTTTATAGGGAAAAGAAATTTGTCCCCAAACTATTAGGTATACTCCAATTGAGTCCCCAACTAAGTAAAATTTAGTTATAAGGTAATTATTATTATTATTTATTGGGTTTTTATATGTATTAACAAAAAATATGTATAAAAAAAAATTAACGAGTAGGGTATAGGACTCCAATTAATTGAATTAGATAGAGTTTTTATTCCATCCAATTCGATTAAATTGGATGATGTCACATACAGGTCAGGTTGTATGAGATTGGGAACCCTAGTTACGAAGGAGCAATTTGATGAACAAATTAATCTTTAATGATAATATTTTTCTTTTATTTTTGGGCTATAAATATTGAAAAACTACAACTTTATTGAACGTAGAAAGCATGGGCTTGGCCCATGAATCATGGACTCGCAGGACGACTCTAAAAAAGTTTTTGGGGGGCACCGAGAGAAACATTGACGCAGGTACACCCCATAGCTGCCAAGAACTTCTAAAGAGCTCATAAACCCTTCCTCCGTCTTTCCGCATTCATAAACCCTATTCCTTTTTAAAAAATAATAATAATAAAAAAGCTCATAAACCAAAAACACTCGAAAAAATACTATGATTGCATCAAAGCACAAATGAAGCTAATTGAAGCAACTATCTGTTTCCTCTTCAAAATGCTAATTTCTCTCCGCAATTTGGGTCGCAGATTCCCTCGAAGAGTAAGCCCTCCTTATAACCATCACCTCTCTTTCATTCTATCTTCACCTTCAACAACAACTACACATGCTTGTTTATTATCTTGCTGCTTCACTGGCTTTCTTTGCATACTTAGATTCCCATTTATCACCAAATCAAATTCAAACCCCAACAATTTTTTTGATGTTTTAGACAAACTGTCACTGACTAAAATCATTCAACAAGACCAATGGAATGATCCAAGAGTCGTTGGTTTAATTCAGTCTTCGTTGGCCCCAATATGGGTGTCTCGGGTTTTGGTTGAATTCAAACAAGACCCAAATTTGGCTTTGAAATTCTTCAAGTGGGCTAAAACCCGAGCTGGATTTCGCCACACTACTGAATCCTATTGTATATTAGTGCACATTTTGTTTTATGCTAGAATGTACTTTGATGCTAATAATATGCTGAAGGAATTGGTTTCGTCCAGCTGGGTTTTGCCGGGTTTTGATGTGTTTGAAGTTTTATGGACTACGAGGAATGTTTGTATTCCGGGATTTGGTGTTTTTGATGCTTTGTTCAGTGTTTTGGTTGAACTAGGAATGCTTGAGGCTGCTGGTCAGTGTTTTTCGAGGATGATCAGGTTTAGGGTGTTGCCAAAGGCACGGTCTTGTAATGCCTTTTTGCATAGGCTGTCGAAGGCAGGGGAAGGGGACTTGTCGAGAGAGTTTTTTAGGGATATGCTAGGAGCTGGGATTGCCCCAACGGTATTTACATATAATATTATGATAGGTCATGTGTGCAAAGAAGGGGATATGTTGACTGCTAGAAGCTTGTTTGAACAAATGAAAAAGATGCGATTAACTCCAGATATCGTCACGTATAACTCCCTGATTGATGGATATGGAAAGATTGGGTTGCTGGATGAATCAGTTTGCTTGTTTGAAGAAATGAAGTTTGCAGGTTGTGAACCCGATGTAATAACCTACAATGCCTTGATTAACTCTTTCTGTAAATTTGAAGGAATGCCTAGAGCTTTTGAGTTTTTCCGAGAGATGAAGGGTAAAGATTTGAAACCAAATGTCATAACTTATAGCACATTAATTGATGCTTTATGCAAGGAGGGGATGATGCCAATGGCAATGAAATTTTTTGTGGATATGAGACGTGTCGGTTTGTTACCAAATGAATTCACATATAGTTCGTTGATTGATGCAAATTGTAAAGCTGGTTATCTAGGTGAAGCTTTCACACTGGCTAATGAGATGTTGCAGGAACAAGTTGACTTGAACATTGTTACATACACAAGTTTATTGGATGGCATTTGTGAAGAAGGGAGGATGAAGGAAGCAGAAGAACTATTTAGGGAAATGGGGAAAGCTGGGATAACTCCTAACCTGCAAACTTACACTGCCCTTATTCATGGGCATATTAAGGTTAGGAGTATGGATAAAGCCATGGAGTTATTCAATGAAATGAGGGAAAAAAGTATCAAACCAGACATATTGCTTTGTGGAACCATTATTTGGGGCCTTTGCAGTGAAAGTAAGCTTGAAAAATGTAAGATTATAATGACTGAAATGAAGGAGTGTGGTATAGGTGCCAACCCTGTCATATATACAACACTAATGGATGCTTACTTTAAGGCAGGGAATCGCATGGAAGCAATCAATCTGCTAGAAGAAATGTGGGACTTGGGTATTGGGGGTACAGCTGTGACGTTTTGTGCATTAATTGATGGTTTGTGCAAAAGGGGTTTAGTTCAAGAGGCAATTTATTACTTTGGTAGGATGTCAGACTTTGATTTACAGCCCAATGTTGCAATTTATACGGCCCTTATTGATGGTCTTTGTAAAAATAATTGTATCGGAGCTGCAAAGAAGCTGTTTGATGAAATGCAAGAAAAAAATATGATTCCAGATAAAATTGCTTATACTGCAATGATGGATGGAAATTTGAAGCACGGGAACTCTGAAGAAGCATTGAATGTGCGAAACAAGATGATGGAAGTGGGTATAGAACTTGATCTGTATGCATACACTTCCCTGGTTTGGGGGTTGTCACAATGTGGCCAAGTACAGCAAGCAAGAAAGTTTCTTGCTGAGATGATTGGAGAAGGTATCATTCCTGATGAGATTCTCTGTATTCGTCTTTTGACAAAGTATTATGAGCTAGGAAATATCGATGAAGCTATGGAACTGCAAAATGAATTGGTGGAGAAGGGTCTAATTCATGGCAACAGCAATTCTGTGGTTCCCAATATACAAACTTGAGATGATTTAGTTTTTCTAGAAAAACAAAAATTCAAGGAACACAAGGCCTTTCTGAGCACCTTTGATTGGATGGGTTCGCTGTGCAGACACAGTGTTTGACGCTGGTTCACTGATTTCAATGGTGCTTCATGAGCTCTTTGCAGATGCAAATCTGTTAAATGAGTTTCCTGCTCACAGCATTCTGGTGACTGTTAGAAGAAAACTCATAGCATTTATGCCTGATTCAAGACTTCCAACCGTTACTTTGGAGGTGAGTGGTAAACTGTGGATTCTTCAGATTTCAGTTATAACAGAAGAAGCATTGTATGTAGCAACGTTATCATCATCAGTTATAGTTTCATGGACATTGATTAAACTTGAAACCTCCCTAAAATGGAAATCGTAGAACCGAAATTGATGCTGTAATATTTTACTTTTCTTCTGTATTTCACTTCAACTTACTACTCAATTATTTTATGGCAGCTGGTTGGTTCTCAAGTTGGAAGATTTATACATAAGGAAAGGAGTTTCAGGTACTCATCATGTACACAACAACCAAGTGACAGCAATTAAACATTACGAGGAAACTGGATGTTCAATTGAAATGCATTCTGTCCTTACCTCTTTGATTAGCCAGGTAAAATTTTTTTTTGCCTAATTTTATATATTCAGGATAATGTCACCGATATAATTTGTATACTCAGTTTCTTTATGTTTTTCTGTTTGGTCAGTGGTTTCCCTTGGGCTTTTGTTCTAGTGGTGACAGTTGGATTGGGGCATACCAATTAAAAGAGATGGAGATAATGATGCTGTCATGTAGAACTAGGCAATTATCTCCAGACTTCAGCAATTGCTCAATTATCAGAAATTTCTATTTGCTACTTTCACCCATCTTTTTAACGGCTGTTCTAATTTTAGCATTTTTTTTTCTTTTACTAGAAGTAGAAAGTTTTAATTAGAAAAAAATGTGACTGCAATATTTTTAAGATAGAGTAGCACAGTCTGTCGAGTGAAAACAAAATATAGAAAACAAGATAAAAGGCTTTCCAGCTTTGTTAATTGGCTGCTAAAGAACTCTAAAAGCCTCCGAAGTAGTACCGGAAACAGGTTAAGTACACTATTCCATCCCACAACAGCTACTTAAGGATAAGAAAAAAATTTATCCCTCAGTAGCTAATTCAAAAGGATTTGATTTTTAGTTTCTAGAGTTCTCTGACTCTACATGTTTGAAAACTTGGCTTCTCTTCATAAGATCAAGTTGCTTACCAAAGACTTGCATATCCTGAGCTGATGCCTTTTAAAATAGTGTCAGTTTTTTATTTGTGCTTTAGATTATGATGATACATACATTTTCAAATCTTTTCAATGCTGATAATAAATTACAACTATTCCTTAAAAAAAGGCTGGCAATAACTAAGGGTTAGAGGGATCATATTTTTAGGATTTAGTTGGAAAATGTTAATTGTTGAAGTGATGAATGCAGGGTACAAGCTATGGATTCATTAGCAAAAAATGGAACTACTTTTGTGTGGATGCATTTACGACTCTCTGCTGTCCAGCTGGAAAGGAATTATTGTTGAGCTGGAAGGTAATTATAGTTCATATGCCTTTTTTTTTTTTTTTTGGCGAAGGTAAGGCACAGAAACACAGCTTGATATTTCCTCCCTTTTTTCTTATACCTGATGTCTGTTGTTTTACATCACAAGTACCGCACTAGGAGTTATAGTGATACGTAGCCTAGTGTGGCTGTCATTAAATGTTTCGCTACCATTGTATTGTTCCATGACGTGGTGGTGGCAGGTCTGTTGAGTCATGCAACGCTTCAATTCATTCATGGCTCAAGTTTTATAGGAGTTTATGATATCTTCTTCAAAACTCAGAAACCAAAACTAGCTGAAATTGATTTTAAGCACGTTGTTATCCTTGCCAATTAATTTTCCAACACACTCATACACACAGAGACATGACAACATAGTTGTGATTGTATTTAATGGGAATGCTTTGATGCCTATGGCTTACTGACTTCTGCTTAAATATTATTCAGAGTTTTTATCTGACCATCTTTTACCCATTAGGTAAGCGAAAGGGTTGCAATGCATCGTTGTGTGCATTATAGGTGCCATGGAGACACAGGCAATCAAAATAGATGCTGCAGGAGTTCTGGCTGAAAATAAATTTAGAATCCATTGATCTACCTTGTGAAGACACCCGAGGTGAACTTGAGCTGCTAGAGAATTTGAATGCATGATGAGGGGCTGCTTTCAAACATCACCACCTTTTCAGAAACAGCTTGCAATGATTGTTTTCTTTCTTTCTTTCCTTCTTTTAAGTGGAGAAATAAGCTTGAACAAAAACATCTATGAACAAGGTGGTGTCATTCTAAATTGTTCATTCAATGCTTGTTGTTTAGTTCAGTATGGCCTGCAATGTTTAGAGCGTCAAATTTTCCTATCTGGTTATGGTAGGTGACTAGAGCGACGTTGATTTACATCCGTGCAGTCTTCAGTACACTTTCTTCTGTATTTGTCATCACGAAACTAGTGCATTTTCTTCTGTATCTGTTTGTCATGACGAAACTAGTCCATTTTCTCCTGTATTTGTCACGATGAAACTAGTTTAGGTGCCATCGTAAGAGCCAAATCAGTTGCAGTACCAATCAAATTATCCAAAATGAACAATCTCCATCCCTTTTTTGAATTTGAAGCAACCAGAAGAAACATGAAAAAATTTTCATGGGCAGGCCTATGGAAGCAAAAACAGCTTAATTGATTCGTATAAAGCAACGCATCCAACCATTATAGTTGATTGTTGCAGTAAATCATGGTAGCAATTTGTTGATTTTAATGTACTGGTGGATAAGACTTTTTTTGTCAATTTCATTGCATAATAAGAGTACATATGGAAATGCTGAGAATAAACCATCCAATGTAATTACATGATCCAGAAAGGGAAAGAAGTGTTGGAGAAACTCAGGAGTGAAACCCAAAATTAAACCTATCATGGGGATATATTATATAAACGACATCGAGCAAAACCTAGTGCAAAAGAAATTCCTGCAAATTGCCTAACCTTTTCTTCTTACACGATTGATTAGACATTACTTGTTAATGGCAAAACGTTCTCAGCATGAATGGTAAGTATAACATCAGAAGGTTTTCCAACCAAACCGCAAGGAAGTTTAACTGACTTCAGCTCAGGGACTTGAATCATGCTTAAATTCTTTGTCTGAAGGTCACAATAGTATGCTGCCCATACAGCCGGAACTGCATATCCATGTTGTACAAGCAAAATCATTCCAGTCCTGAAACTGCCAACAGGCCACAGACATGGACTATGTAGGGGGAAAATAATCCTCTCCTTCACCCAAGCCTGGTTACGTCGATCCTCTAGCATCCACAGATCAATTTTATTCCGATTAGAACCACTAATTACGTGACCCATTAGTGCTAGACATCCCTTGACTTGTTTCATGAGATGAAATTCCGAAGCTTCTTTTGGGACTTGGATGATTTCGAACTTCTACTGTTGGAAGGTCGAACGCTAGAAAAATTTCCTGGTCAAATAGCCTATGCCTCCATTGTATAACTCCACCAACGCAAACACTGTCACTTGATAGACCAAGAAGCTGATCTCGAACACAAGGGTAGCTAGGATCAATTTTTATCCATGAGCCTGCTCTGCTGCCGCTGCCTAAAGTGAAAATCTCAAACTCCACCATTCTCTGGCTAACTTCCCGAGTGGACAACCCATTATTAGGATTGAGTTGCAATGTGTATCTGTTTATACTACAAATATTAAGTACTTTATATTCCAATGTAGAGGGATTGAAGCCGAAAGAATACCGAGGTTCATAAACAATCTCGAAATCAGCATCAAAACCTGCCCTGATTGGTATGTATGTGCTCTTTGGAAGGGTTGTGACCTCTTGAGTGGTGATGTTACATATGTCAACACGATGGGATGTGCAATCATGTCTGCAGAAAACGCCATTAATGATTTCAGAAAGGCGAGAATATCGTAGGTCGACGTGGGAGAGTTGAAAGTTTCGAAACCCTTGCTTGCCTTCGAAGAAAGAGAGAGATGTTGATGAGGATGAGAGATCGGGGAAGGAAAGACAGAGAGCAGTGCCATTATCCCTTGTTAGAGAACGAGTGTGATGCAAGTTAACAAAGAAAGGATCATGAATGATAGAACACTATAGCCTGGATACACTCCTAAATCGGACAACGGATTTAGCAGGAAGTCTTGAAAGGATATCAAGAATCGCGTCGCGGGGAATAGGAATTGGTTGAAGATTGATATTATTGGATTTTCTTGACGATGCTCTCATCTGGCTATTCCCCATGGCGATCAATCAGCTTCTTAATTAATTTGGACCTCAGCTGTGTTTTCTTCTTCTAGGTTGATTTATAGTATTTATTATTTATTATCCATTAAACGTATAATTTCCAAGGGAATGCGTACAATACAAACACTAATGCCATCCCTATTTGGAGGTTGCTCTCCGAGTTCTGATAGGAAATTGAGTGCCTTGTGATGATGAAAAGTAAAGAGGATGATTTTTGTTAATGCCAATCCCAATCCATAGCTAGCGTGAGAAGAAGAATTTTTCTCGAAATAAAATTTTGGTTGACAAAAATGTAGATAGTTGCTACAGTAATACCTAACTTGGGATGGAATGGGATAGGGATGGCAATATGCTCCATCTCGACGGAGCCCCGTCTCATCCCGTCATGATCAATGTAAAGATTCCTTGAGTTGATTGATAACGGGATGGGACAATCTACCTCATATTAATTCTGAATAAGGATAGGCGAAGGTAGTATTTGCCTGTCTCGCCTTGTTTATCTTACTCCATTCTTAAAATTATAGTTATATCCTATATAAAATCTATAATTACTTATTCTTAAAATTTATTTTATATTTAAATTATTATTTTTTTATTATAGTTTGAAATTTAACGATAAAATGAAATATAACGAAACGAAAAAAAAAAAACAAGACATCAATGCTCTGCGGTGATTTTCGTCCCCGTTTAGAACAAAAATGGTAAGAAAATTATCACCTCAAGCCAGGTACGAGGTGAAAACACGGTAAAATTTTTAAGGGCCATCCGCTCCTGCCAACCCCGTTGCCACCGACTGATGAAACAGTAAGCTGTAGGCCTGACCTCCTTAGGCCCACAAAACCATAGGATGGGACTGCCTGGCCTGACGGACTTAGTGACTCTCTATAAAAATCATAGCACTGCAGCCATTCGATTTAAATTAAGATTAATTAATTATTTCTGACTTATCGCTAAAGAAACCTTTAAATTAAATTAAATTAAATTATTTGCGAAGACCAAACCCCATCGATCGCTATGGCAGCAGTAGGAGTGGAGAGGAAGCAACAGCAACAAACAGAATCAACGATAACGATGATGGCGGAGGAGAGCTGCTCGATGAAAACGGGGGCGGCCAAGCAAGGAGAGGGTTTGAAGCAGTACTATCTGCAACACATCCATGAACTTCAGCTCCTTGTCCGCCAAAAAACCCACAATCTCAATCGCCTCGAAGCTCAACGCAATGACCTTAATTCGAGAGGTGGTTTTTATTTCGGTTCAGATTTATTGATTGTGTTATTTTTTATATATATAAATAGATAGATGGATCGGATTTTATGAGCTAGGGTTTCATTCTTCGATTTTGTTGATAGACTTGCTAGGGTTTTTCTCTCGTTTTGTGTTAATAAATAATTGAAACCAAATCTTTTAGTTGAAAAACATCAACAACAGAGTACAATCAATTTATACAGATCTTTTTTGTAAATTCCTAATTTTGCGTTACCTTGTTTTGGAATGCCTATACCAAACCTGCCCTGGTTTGGTGTTTTCGGCAACTGCTACCGTTTTTGGATATATAAGCTTACCATGGGTTGCAATATGCTACTGGATTCGTTAACTTGATGATGAATTGCATCTTTCCGTCTTTACTTAATGTATAGGTCAAATGACATTGTTTATGTTCAACATGTTCAGTGAGGATGCTTAGAGAAGAGTTGCAGCTACTTCAAGAGCCTGGGTCATATGTTGGTGAAGTTGTCAAAGTAATGGGGAAGAACAAGGTGTTAGTTAAGGTACAGTGTTTGTTGTTGTTGTTCAATACTAGTGAATATACTTTTAGTTACCACACGTTATGGTTCTTTCTTTTCTGAGCTTTTTGGTGTCACGCCCTCAATGCATTTAGCAGCATTGGGATATTGATGTGTCATTGATATTGATGAAAATAAGTGCCTTCATCCAGGTTCATCCAGAGGGGAAGTATGTTGTTGATATTGATAAAAGTATTGATATCACAAAGATTACTCCATCAACGAGGGTTGCCCTTCGTAATGACAGTTATGTTCTTCACCTGATCTTGCCAAGCAAAGTGGATCCTTTGGTCAACCTTATGAAGGTCGAAAAAGTTCCAGATTCTACCTATGACATGATCGGTGGTCTTGACCAACAAATTAAAGAAATAAAAGAGGTTTGTATAGTCTTTTGTTTTTTGTTCTGTGTGAGGATTTCCTTGAACCTTGACTATGACTGCCATGTTAGGTTGTTGATTTTCTCATTGTTTCCTGTTACTTTGTCTTGACTCGTTGGTAGGTTATTGAACTTCCAATTAAACACCCTGAATTGTTTGAGAGTCTTGGAATCGCCCAACCAAAGGTATTATGTCTTTAAGTTTTTTCCATCTGTTAACTCACGCAGTTGGTGTATTTGGATTTTGGACTAAATCTCTCTCTCTCTCTCTCTCTCTCTCTCTCTCGTGTCATAGGGTGTTCTCCTCTATGGTCCTCCTGGAACAGGAAAAACCCTACTGGCTAGGGCAGTGGCTCATCACACTGACTGTACTTTCATCAGGGTTTCTGGTTCTGAATTAGTTCAGAAATACATTGGAGAAGGCTCTAGAATGGTCCGAGAGCTTTTTGTTATGGCAAGGTCTGTCTCTTTATTTACTTGACTGCCTCGCTGTCAATTTAAGTGTTGTAAGGTCATTTTCTTGAAGTATCTATGATTAAATTCCTGCAACTCTTGTATTTTCAACTGCTGTGATAGTTGGCAGTAGGGCTTCCTATTTTATTAAATAAACACTAATCAGGAAAGGGGGTCTATTTTGCCTGATTAATTATGTTTATAAAATTGGTTAAACTACAATCCTGGCATACCAGACAAGACACATTAAGCTTCTATTCTAGAAAGTGGCAGCTTGGGAGAAATAAACTAACCATTCTGATTTTGAATGCTATGATCCATTAGAAAGAATTATTTTATCTTTCTTTTTGAAGAGTTGGTTGTCACATATGCTCTAACTTAAGTTTCAATGCTTAGTTATAGCCTAATCTGGATCACCATTTGCCTGTTCTTTTGTAGCCTTATGTTCTGCTGTACAAATCTGTTTGGTTACATACTCTGCTTCGTATTTCACATCTTATATCTGGTATGGTTTCTGGTTTTATGGTTTTGTCACAGAGAGCATGCTCCATCAATCATTTTCATGGATGAAATTGATAGTATTGGTTCTGCTCGAATGGAATCTGGGAGTGGCAATGGTGACAGTGAGGTGCAGCGTACTATGCTGGAGCTTCTCAATCAGCTGGATGGATTTGAAGCATCAAACAAGATAAAGGTACTGGAATACCTGTAGAAGACAATAGAGCAAATAGGGGAACTATGCATTGTATTGACACAGCTATTCATGTTAGTACCTTTTCTGACAATTTTTTTAACAGGTTTTGATGGCTACAAATCGGATTGATATTCTGGATCAAGCTCTCCTTAGGCCAGGACGAATTGACAGGAAGATTGAATTTCCGAATCCTAACGAAGACGTATGTATCATTTTCATTTGTTTGACTGTCTTGTTTCCTTATTTTGTTTCATAAAGACTGATGTAATGAGTAATGAATATGCAGTCACGTTTCGATATCTTGAAAATTCATTCAAGAAGGATGAATTTAATGCGTGGGATTGATTTGAAGAAGATAGCCGAGAAGATGAATGGTGCATCTGGTGCAGAGCTCAAGGTATTTTTCTCACTATATCAATGTCTTTTATACCACTTGCTTTTAGTGTTCTCAACGCTCAAGTGGTTAGAAAATTATAGATCTCCAAGAGCAATTAGGTAAATATTTATTGGAAAGAGGAGATGGCAAGGAGAATTGAAACTCGATTTTGTTTTAATAAATGATATAAAAATAAAATAAACAAAGATAAGAAAGGGGGTAGGGGTAAATATATCAAAAGCTATTTAACTTGTCCGGGTGATGCATACAGTTTTCATTTCTTTCTCCTGTTACTAATAACTACTGTTTTGGTTAATGTTTCTTTGAATGCCATTGGTGAAAAATGGTGGGGAGAAGAAAGGTTTTGTTGTGTATCATGAAACAAAAAAACGTCTCTACAGATGTACAAGCGGCTTTGACTAAATTGTGACTGTGTATGATGGATATTTGCATCTTGTTATGATTTCACAGGCGGTGTGCACAGAGGCTGGAATGTTTGCTCTAAGAGAGAGGAGGGTCCATGTTACACAAGAAGATTTTGAGATGGCAGTAGCAAAGGTCATGAAGAAGGAGACAGAGAAGAACATGTCATTGCGGAAGCTCTGGAAATAGATCAGATTCAGCAACTTGCTATGTTTTCGGTGCTTTTTTTTTTTTTTTTTTTTTTGTACTAATGAAAATGTCAAGAACAAGATTTAAATAGAACAGCACTTCAGTGCATGGAATATTTGCGCCTCTGGATTTCTTGCCTGGACCTTGTCAGTGCCACGCATGTGCTTTCTTTTCACAAGATGAAGGAATTTACTTGAGGACTTTCCTCGTCAAGGGCTCTCGATTATTGATTCTTTATACATGTATCTACGTATGTATAGACACACACCCACTAGCAGTGAGGTCTGTATAGCTTGAGATTAGTTCGGAAATTGAGGAGGACCTTTTGTTTTTCTAATGGGAGAAGTTCCGTGTCAAGTTGAATAAGGGGTGGGATTTGAATTTATGACTTCCCATCTCGAGTCAAGTTTTAACTTGTTACCTTCACAGGTTTAGGTCGCCCTCCAACTAGAACAGGAATCGCGTAAAATTGTAGGGTGAATTTTAATTTGTTCTTAGTTTGAGAGGATTTTCAATTTTTATTCAATTACCCTGCTGAACATTATTGGAGTTTAATTTTTTATTTCTAACTATTAAATTAAAGTAACTAATGATATATATATATATTTTATGTTTCAATTAACTTTTAAAAAAACTAAAAAGATCTCAATTAAATATTTATCCTTGAATTATATTAAAAATTATAAAATTCTTTTCATCAAAATTTGAAAATAAAAATATAGGCAATATTATTTCAATTATTAAATGCCAATTCATTAGTAATTAATTTGAGTTTATGAATTTTAATAAGGATAATTGCACTATAAATACAACAACTTTTAATATTTCAATCAAGTATATAAACATTAATTTTTTTTATTTAAATACAATAGTTTTTTCAAAACTATTGATAAGTACTTTTGTTTGACTTGTGTCAATTGCTTTATTATTTAATGATGTGTTATTTGTTCTAGGTTATTAAATTACGAATTTGCCTTTTAATTCCTAAAGAGAATTTTTCTTTCCAAATTATTTTTCATGTCTACTTTTTTAATACAAAAACAATTTGGATATTCATTATACAAAAAGTTGGAAAAAAGCAATAATTTAGTTGAGAAAGTTTCTTCTAAAAATGAAAGGACAAAATCATAATTTAGTTATCTAGAAAAAAGAACACTTCATCAAATAATAAAGCAATTAACGAAGTTTGATGAAAAATACTTAATTCATAGTTTTTAAAAAGTTAATGTTCTCAAAGGAAAAATTTTGAAATTTATGTATTCAATTGAGAAAACACTAAAAATTAGTGTGTTTATAGGGCAATTATTCCAATTTTAATATAATTTATGTTATGAAATAATGAATGTCCATATGAATGTTTATATGTTTTTTATATTTGTTTATATGTTTTTCATATCCTCACTACTCATAAGTTTTAATATGATTCAATTCATCATTCAATATGAGAAATTAAAAGGGTGATACAATTGATTCAACAATTTATGTACTTTTAATTGTTCATGATCCCTTTCAATTCTCTTCTTAATTTTGAAACTTGTAAATATGTTTGATTATTCATTAGTTTTGTACAAGTATTTTATAGAGATTGAGACAATTGTTTAAAGTTATTATCTCTTGTATTCTCTTTATTTCATAGTGAAATCATTTTTCTATCATCTTTTCTCCTATCCTTTTTACCATTATTGTAACAATCTTTTGTGATTATTATTATATTTTCAATATGTTATCAGCACGATTGTTCTACCAAAACGCACAAATCATCTAGACAAATACAAGGTATGTATTTAATTTAACTTTTACTTTAAATCTAATTGTACATACAAGTATACGTTTGAAAAACTTGAATGATCTAGTGTATGTTGTTTGAAAAGTTTGACTTTTATTTGTTTTATTTTCTAACATTTTTATTATATCTCATATTATAGAATTTTTATGATGCCAAACCTCACAAAGCTTGATTTTGTGGCCCTTGACATTTCAAACAAGAATTATTTATAATGGATGCTTGATGTTGAGATACATTTAAATGCTAATGATCTTGGACAAATAATCATTGATGATGATCAAGAACACTTGCAAAATCATGCTAAGGCAATGATCTTCCTTCGTCATCATCTCAATGAGGATTTGAAAACTGAATATTTAACGATAAATGATCCACTTGAGTCGTGGAAAAATATAGAGACACCAAAAGATGGTAATCCTTCCAAAAGCTTATTATGATTAGATACACTTAAGATTATAATATTTTAAAACAATCGGTGACTATAATTGTACGAGTATTTAGAATCGGTTCTCAACTAAAATTATGTGAAAAAATATTACCGATTTAGATATATTAGAAAAAAACATTCTCTACTTTTTATGCCTCAAATATGCTCTTGCATCAACAATATCGAAAAAAAGTTTTTGAGAAATACACTAAATTGATTTCATATTTACTTATGGTTGAACAAAATAACGAGTTATTGATGAAAAATCATGAATTTTGCCTAACCGGGTCTACTCTATTATTTGAAATGAACGTGACATCTTATAATAATTTTGAGCATGGACGAGGACATAGTCATGACCATGGACGTAGATGTGGTTGTGGCAATATCTATATACATGGTTGGAATAATTATCGTTGTAATCATGGTGGTCATAATAATACACCTCATCATTAAAAATGGATAAATTATGAAGAAAAACAAGAAAAGAATAAAAGTGGATCAAGTCAGTATTTTGAAAATGAATGTTATAGATATAATATGAAGGAACATTGGTCGCGTACCTATCGTACGCCAAAGCACCTCGTTGAGTTTTATCAAGCCTCATTGAAAAAAAAAGTAATATAGAAGCAAATTTTATATATCAAAATAATGATTGTGATAATATTCATCTTGATGGTTTCGGTAATTTGACACATTTAAATGTTGCTGATTTTTTAAGGATTCTAAAAGAAAAGATTATTAGATTAAAGATAATCATTGAAATTAATATCTTGTTAGATTTTCTACCAATAAATAATAAGTTTTTATATTTTTTATAATTTTTATTGCACCGTGATATATATATATATATATATTTATTTATTTATTTATTTTATTTGTTTTGTATTTATGAAGAATATATGGATACTACCAAGTTTATAATTGGTTCAAACATTGTAGAGGAGAATCTATATCTTATAGATAGTGCAACAACGAGATACTATACTTAAAAATAAGGCTTAATATACTATAAAATCATGAACTTTACACTTTTTAAGTATTTTAGTTCGTTCTTTTAATTTTGAATAGAAAGGTCACAAACTAAGCTTTTCGTAACAATACTAGCACGAGTGAGTTTTTCGGCTTAAATTTCAACCAAAACCGACGTGATGCATGATGGAGTATGACAACTTGATTTAATGTACCACGTAGGATCCACGTGACCTATTAACTTTTAAAAAAATCCAATTAAAAAAAACCCCTAACCCTAATCGTCCCTAATCATAACCCTCTATAACCCTAAAAGAACCCGCCACTCTTCATCCCATACCTCTAGCCGTGCTCAACCACCAATCTCCTCCCTTACAGATCAACACTACTCCATCGCCACCTCTTACCTTGTCGAAACCCTCATCTCTCGCCACTTTCCACTCGCTATAAAGCCCTCCTCATCGTCCTCTAACGCTAATCTTACATATAATTTTCCAATACCTTAACGTTTTTAATCACATCATCATCAACTATCCTCCAAACAAAAACACAATCAAAATAGGCCCTCATCTTCATCACCTTCGTAAGAAAAACAAACAAAATAGATCAAAAAAAATAGAAAAAGAGAAAAAAGTCATGGGGATCTCTTGTTTTTGTTTATGATAGCAACTTTACAAAATTTCAAGTTGTTAACCAAACAAGAAAGGGAAAATAGAGGAGAGGAACAGGTTGGTGACTATGGAAATAAACTCCCAAGTGTGCCCATATTCTTCATGACTACGCCTTCTTTCCTCTATGACTTTGGAATTATGAGCAAGTATGCTATATTTTGCCAACATACAAATTAGGATGAACCCTAAGAAAATGGTCTTTAGAGGAGGTTCACTTCCGAGTTATGACCCATCAAAAGTAGCTAGGCTTGGAGTTAGAGATGAAATGGTTCAATGTGCCAGGATTCAACTTCATACATGCAATCAATGTGTAGGATGAAGAGGATGCCATAGTCATGTTAGCACCAAACATTTTATCAGTAGAACACATACCAAAGAGAATGAAAATTATCCATGCCTTGGTTGAGAAAGTGAGAATAGACTTGAAAATAGGCATAATTACAAGAAACTCGATTTTTAGCTAGAAACCTGGACTTTTGGGTGATAAACCTAGCTTATTTAGGGAAAAAGAACAAATTTGTGTATGCATCAATAGGTGACCCAATCCCAAAGATATCGTGGTCGGTGAAGCTAGATGTGTCTAAAGGAGATCGGTAAGATTGCAAAGTGGCTAGCAGGATGTATAGGCCAAGATGCTACGATAGAAAGCCTTTCTTTGTAGCAAAGGATCCCGAGAATCTAGGCATAAAAGAGGATGATGGGTATATGGTGTAAAATGTTCATGACGAGATGGTAGGAGAGTCTAATTTTTTAGTGATAGAATGGGTTAAATTCATTAGATCTCCGAGTTATAAAGAGAAAGAGGTTATGGGGTTCTCTACAAAATTTCAATTTTATAGGAGAAGAAGAACAGTCCCTCTTAGTTAGGCTATGGAGGGTTAAAGGGTTTTTTTAATTATTTTTTTTCAATAATAGACCACGTGGATCATACGTGGCATATTAACCCAAGTTTTATGCTCCATCACATATCATGTCGACTTTGATCGAAATTTAAGTCAAAAAAACTCATATGTGCTATTATGGATACCAAAAATTTATTTCATGACCTTTCTATCCAAATTAAAAGAATGAGCTAAAATGCTTAAAAAGTATAAAATTTGTGATTTTCTATTACATAAAGCCTAAAAATAAAAGCTATTTCTCCAATGTAATGATGGGCAAGGCTAATATTAATATTATATCTAATAATGTCAATTTAATTAAAGGCTCTAAAAGAGCAAATATATTATTACCTAAAGGGACAAATTTGATTATAAATTATGTATTATTCTCTCCTAAGTTCTATAGAAATTTATTGAGTTTCAAAGATATTCGAGTAAATAAATATCATATCAAGACAACAAATATTAAAAATATTAAATACTTATATATTATAAAAATTACATTGAGTAAAAAATATGTGTTGGAGAAATTATCTATTTTCTCTTCTAGTGTGTATTACATGAATGTTCAAATGATTGAAACAAATGTTATAGTTAACTAGAAGTTTACTAATTATTTTATTTTGTGGCATGACCGATTGGGTCATCTTGGATTCATTATGATATGAAAAATTATTAAAAATTCATATGGACATCTATTAAAGAAGCGAGAAAATTCTTCAATCTAATGAGTTTTCATATCCTACATATTCTCAAGACAAATTTATTATTAACTCATCATCGGATAAAATTGGGATTGACTCTTCGACATTTTTAGAATGTATTCAAGATAATATATATGGACCAATTCATCAACCATAAGGACCATTTAGATATTTTATAATTTTAAAAGTTGTATCCACAAGATGATCACATGTATGGTTATTATCAACTTAAAACCCGGCATTTTTTAGATTACTTGCTCAAATAATTCGATTATGAGCATAATTTTTAGATTATACCGTTAAAACAATTCACATTAACAATGCTGGTAATTTATCTCAAGCATTTAATGATTATTGCATGTCTATTGTAATAAAGGTCGAGTAATCTGTTGCTTATGTTCGTACTCATATATAATGATTTAGTAGAATTGTTTATCAAAAGCCTTCATTTGATACTTAGACCATTACTTACGAAAACAAAACGTTTTATTTATATTTAGGGACATACAATTTTACATGTAACAATACTTATTCGCATTAGGCCCACAAGTTATCAAAAATTCTCTCATTTTCAATTGATTCTTGATCATAAGTCTAATGTTTCTCTTTTAAGGATTTTTAGATGTGCGGTATATGTCACAATTACTCATCCATAATGAACTAAAATGTGTCCTCATAAGATGTAAGGAATATATGTTGGATATGAATCTCCTTCTACGATTAAATATTTTGAACCATTAACAAAAGATGTTTTCATGGCTCGATTTGTCAACTCGTCATTCTAATGAAATAATTTTTCTACCATTAGGGAGAGAGAATAAACAAAATAAGCAATTATAAATATTAGAAAAAGAAATTATATGGAATACTTCATCTTTATATCATCTTAATTCTCACACAAAATAATGTGAACTTGAAATTCGAGAGGATAATTCATTTATAAAGTCTTACAAACCAATTGCCAAATGCATTCTCCTATACAAAGGGTTTAACTAAATCATATGTCCCTATTGAGAATGCTCATGTTAGAATTAATGTTCTTCGAAAGAAAAATAATAATAATCAAGATGAAAATATAATGGAGGCGAGATAAAATGATCCAAGATACTTTTAATAACATGCTTTTGTTAAGAGATCACGGGTTCAAATTCTAACAGATTAATTTTGTTAAGAGTTTTGGACGTACAAGAAAAAAAAATTATATGTCAATGCTGATATCTAAGAAATAATAAAGAATTAAGCAGAGTAAATTATAAATTAAGACTTCTAATTTTGAAAAACGAAATAATTTTTATTTTAAAAACCATGATGATGAACATGGCTTATGACTGAAAAAAAGATAAATAAGAGAGAAGATTTGGTTGTTTAGGAGTTAAATTTTCATTTATGGACGCACAAGTACCACCAGCTTCGTAACTTTTCATTTCAAATTTGCAAAATTATCTTAGAAAAATTAAAGTTCAACATTCAAAAGAGTGATCCATTGAACCAATGAATTGTATCCGGGGGGGGGGGGCCCTCCAAAATCAGAACAGAAAAAATATTCTATTTTCAAATCTCTATTTCTTATTTTATTAATATCTACTCTCCTTCTTTCTTCTCATTTTATTATTAGCTTTCTTTTTCTCATTTTGCTCCTATTTTTTCTTCTCGTCTTGGCTTCTTTGCCTCGTCAAACTTTTGCTCCTAGTGAGAGACTAGACAGTGAGAGTACAGATATCTACTCTTCACGGATATATATATATATATATATTAAGTGTTAATTTGATAAAAAATTTAACGTATGGGACTAACTAATTAATTTTTGAAAACAAAATAACTAATTTATAATTTACTCAAACCAAACTACTAGCCTTTTTTTTTATTTTTTGGGTTTTTTCGTTTCCCGAACCATCTCTTATTGCCAATCAGTCACAACAATTCATTACAATGATTATGATTACCTATAAAGCGGAAATGAAATATTCCCCAATTCACCAAATAAAGATTCCGAATAATAGAAACAATAACTTTAGAAAGGAGAAAACAACATTTTTCTTATAAATTTCTACTGTTACAAGTTATGGCTTAGCAAGCAAAGTAAAATGCCCCAAGCACAAGCAAAATTCTCATTCAATCAGAGAGTTTTGAATACAATAAAAAGAGTTTTTTCAATTAATACGAGAAAAAGAACTTGATATCTCTACTTTTACTTCTACAAAGAAAGATAAACCCATAGCAACCACCACTTACTCGAATCCCAAGAACCCAAGGATATAAATGATCTTCCAAAGTCGTCAAAAAACCACAACTACAGCAAAAGGCAGTTACTGCTCCTTGACCATCTATCATCCTTCAAGAGAACACTACACCAATTTTCTTGGCGAAGTCATCTCCATCTTCTTCATCTTCATATTCCTCTTCACCATCTATATTCTCACCCTCTTCGTAATTGTACTCTCCTTCATCAACCTGCTCATATTCATAATCACCATCCCTCTGATCACCACCTTCGTACTCATGATCTTCTATTCCGTCATCAGCAACCATCCCATCTTCAGTCTCAATCTTACTTGGATTCGGTAGTTGAGAAGACTGACCATGAGCAATTTCAATATTTTCTTCTTCTGTTCCAATGGCACCATCAGTTGCAAACTTGGGTTCTTTATCTTTGAGCATTTGGCTACTGTCATTGTCCTTCAATGAGGAAATGCCACTTTGAGTCTCTGCAACTTCCTCGTTGGAATTGATGACAAGGCTTTGCCTTCTTTCATTCTGATTATTGCTGTCCGTGATAACAGATGATATTCTGCTACCAAAGCCTGCAGCTTCAGCCCCTCTCTTTCTCTTAAGAATCTCACTTAGAGGCATTGGCCCTTCAAATGCGAGATCAGTATCAGATGGGGGATGATCTTCCAAGTACTTCCGCTTTCCAAGGGATTGCTGCAACTTACCATCTGCATTTTTCCCACCTTTCAGCTCTGCAAGGCTTTTAGGAGCAGCAAAATCAGTGTCTTTATCATCTATCAATTCTCTTCTCACACGGGGACCAACTCTAATATTTCTCCCCTCGTTGTAATCCTCTTCCACCCTAGCTTCCATTCTATCCCGGAGCCTCCCTTGTTGGGAAGAGATCAGGGACATTGCTGGTGATGATCTTCCCCGATTCCTGCCCCTGTCAATTTCTCTTCCTGCACGCAAGTCACCACCTTCGTTGGGAGATCTTCCTGGAAGCTTTATTCTACCACGAAGACGACTACTAATGGAGCTCTCATGTGAGGGTAAGTGATGAGAGTCCCTTCGTGAAGAACCCCGGTAACCTCGCTCCTCAACATGGTTGTCTGGGACAAAATCGTTACTAACAACTGATCTCAAGCCGTTAACCCTCCTTTGTTTCGATAAACGATAACGCAAATCTGATTCCTCAATGTGCTCTGGGCAATCAGCTTTTGAGTAACCTCGCCTTTCCAGATGTGCTGGTGCCACTAACTTTCTTTCTGACGAAGCCTTGTGCTGCTCCCAAGCATGCTGCCCTTGAATACGTTCATAGGAATCATAGCCTCGTGGATCACGATACGTTTCTTGGTCATCAGGCAATGAACCATAATCTGCAGAATGACCCATGTCATAGTCATCAACAGAGTTCAAGTTCCTCCCTTCATGACCTCTTGTCCTTCCAAACTGATCTTCACCATGGTAATAATCAGAATCCCTCAACTCATCATCCACAAGAACATCAAAACCAGGAGAGGACTCCCTCAAATACTCATCAGCATCCTTCCCATTCTGGATAACATGATCATCTGCTACGTGCGGCAGATGCAAACGATTGGAACGACTTGAATTTCCATTGACCTCAGGAGGAAGATTTTCTGCTTTATATCTAGGAACTACACCATCCATGCTTTTAGGTGGCACTACATTCCTTACAACACCAGCACTGTTTCTTGCTGGACCAATTTCAGCTTTTGACACAGGTTTAGATACAGGGGTTGCTTCAACAGCCTTCGAGAAATTCACTTGTGGAATCTTCTGCTCTTGAGTACCTTTTTGAAGGCCACCAAAAACCTTTTTGGAGGCAGGGCATCAGTACCAAGGGTAGGTGCCATTGGTTGAGAAACTTTATTACTAGCATGAGTTGGTCCGTGGGAGAAAGCACATCTGTCACCTTTTAAGCATATTCCCTGCTGAAAGAAAATGCAAGGGACTGCTTGTTTGCCTGAATTGTGAGGAGCATGTGTGGCAGCTGCAGAAGCAGTATGTGGTGGCGGCAAGGAAGATCCAGCAGATGCTGTTGTTTGGGTGCCAAACAAGCCATCGAGGGGCTGAAATAAGAGAGTAGATATTAGATACTAAGAAGCTGGATAAAATAACTTAATCAAGACAAATTTGCAAAATTAATAAGTCCCCCACCACCTAAAACAGGAATGAAACAAATCCAGCAAGAAATGCATAACATCAAACAAGACGAGAGAAAACAATTACCGGATGACGAAAACCGCATTTGGGATTCAAGCAATTGCCATTCAACCAAAAATAGCAATCCCTGGGATTAACCCTGGCATATTCACTGTGGCGATACTCACACTCACTTCCCTGTTGAGAAAAAGAACAAGGGGCTTCAGTTAATAAAATTCAACTGCCACGGTAGGTGAAAAAATCAAGAATCCACTCTTTCTAAAAAGCACAGCAAGACCACAAATCAAATGATGTTGATTTGAAAGAAAGACATAGTAAAAGAGAGAAATGTAAAACACAACTTGCCTACTTGATTCAAAGCTTAGGAAATATTACTATTCTTGTAGTAAATCTGAAATATGAATGCATCATAAAGACTTCAAAGCAAGCCAATTAACGGGCAAAAAATAGCAATATCACAAGAGATTTTACAAAAACTAACATTCTTGGAGTAAGCCCAGCCAACAGACAACATATAAATTAACTAATACGAATGGGTAAGGATAAAAAAAAAAAAAAAAAAAAAGAAAACCCACTAGACCAATCATAAGTATAGACTCAATTGTACATTGGCCAGATAGATATAAGAACAGGTTCAAGAACACATTGAAATGACACAGCATACGTTCTTAAAAAGATAAGATCTTGATTGACAATTATTTTCAATTAGGGTTTTTCGTCAAACTCGATAGAAGACCCAAAAGAAACTTAATTAATACATAACGAAAAGTAAATCGTGAATCTGAAACCTTAAGAACTAGATCCCTAAAAATCGACAACAATTAATTGAGAAACAAGAAAAAGAAAAGCGAACCTTTTTGCAGGTTAAAGGAGAAGCAAGAAAGTAAACGCAATCAGTATTCCTTTTCAAGGCTTCTTCTTCAGCTGATGTTGTCGTCGTCGCTGTGGAAGCAGTAGCCGTAGATGGTGGTTGTTGGGGTTGAGTGGCCGCGACCATGGCGGTTCTCTTATGGTTTTCTCGTAAGATAAAAAGAATTGGTTGCAGATCGATAAATCAATTTGCAGCAGCAGCGGCAACAGCAAGAGCAGCAGCTCTAGTGGTAGTGGATCGCGCTAGTAATAATAATTCTAAATAAAAAGAGAGGAGAGGAGAGAGAGGAAATGAAAGGCGATGCGATCCTCCAAGAATCCTTATACACAACACAGAGATTATTACTATTATTTATTATTTATTATTAATAGAAGTAAATATATAAATAAATAACAGAAGGGAAGGGGAAAAAAAATATTTGAGAAGAGCCGCCACAAAACAAAGACAGATAAAAGGCTGAGAGAGAGAGAGAGAGAGAGATTGAGAGATGGAATGGAAAGAGAAGGAAACGAGCGTATCCTATTTAGAAAGCAGCTTACCCTTATGGCTTTTCTTTTTTTCTTTTTTATACACTTATGCTTGTTAGGATTTAGGAATACATTTGATTTCAGACTTCAGGAATGTCTGTGAAGTTCCATTCCATTTATTCTGGAATTGGAGGCTAAGGTTAGGTTAACTTTGGATCCAAGTTCATCTTCTACATTTTATGACCTAATTCTTTTAGAAGAAATACATAGCCCACTCAAAAAAATTATAAAAATGTTGCATGTGTATCAAAGCTAGTTAATTGTTGTTACATGTTTTGATGTTATAAATTATTTTTCCACTTACACATATAAATTCAAATATAGAATTCCATCGCTTCAGAAAATATAGAATGCGTTTTCATGACCAAATTCTAATTTAGTTTTCTACTTTTACGGATACAAAAATTACTTCATAATTGTTTTTACACGTATAATTAGAAATCGATATGTACAATCCTCATCCATAAAATGAGTTGATTATTCGAGTTTTTTGCTTTTTTATTATTTTAATTTAACAATTTAAATTCGACGCAATTATTTATTCAAAATATACAAATTACACATCAAAAATTCATAATTATCATTTTAAATAAAGAAACCATCAATCGATGTCTTACAATGTTTTATAACAGTAATAACAGGGTATATGATGCAATAATGTGTCTTGTAATGTTTCATACGTGGCTCTGTTCTGTTGGCCCTGGTCTGCCTAGTTTGTTTTCCTAGGACTTGACTTTCACACGTGGCTCTGCTGCGTTGGCTTTGGACACCCCTTTTCCTTTCACTGAAGGCGAAGCCCCTTCTTCCTTCCTTCAGACGGCCTGAGGCCCCAGAAAAAAAGAGCTTTCTATGAATAGATTGATTTGAATTTTTTTTTTTTTTTTTTTGTTAGTTACAAGAAAATAATAAGTTGATGACATAATATATTTCATAACGTTTATTTTAGTTCACTTTAAAAATATTTTAAAATTTTACTTGTATTAATTTAATTTCAAGTTTGGTTTGTGTTGCGTCTCAAAATTGTATTTAAAAATCAATTAGATGGGTACAAGATTTTATGAATTTACAAGCGAAGTATTGGAAATTTATTAAATCTAATAACTCCATTGTGTTGACATGAGCAAATTTGGTATGAATATCAAAATTGAATTTTATGCACTAGGAACCTGGGCTCTAAGACTTTTATTGAGCTATTCATGATTCAAATAAAAAATGTTGGAAAGAAGATTGCAGTTGCTATCTACCTATTAATACTATTCATGATTAATGCCTCATATTTTGAATCTTTGCTAACGGTCTGAATAAATAATTTTTTATTTAGTTTTTAGTAATTGAGCTAAATTGATGAATTTTAGAGTTTATAAACTAAATTTGGACATTCAAGAAATATAGAGGACCAAAAATAGAAAATCGAGACAAATTATGCCAAATTGGAAATAGTTGCCGGGAGCTTCGTGTATTAGGGAAGCATCAAGGGCCATACTAATTTATTTTCAATTGTCTCTCATTGCTTAGGAAGGAAAAAAAAAACTTATTTTGGTAGAAATGTTATTTTTAATTATTCTAGTTCATTTGTCAAATTTATTTGATTATTAAGTTTAATATTCTTTATAAATATAGATGTAATTTATCTTGACTTTCATAAAAAATTCTCTAGTTTATTAGGTTTTTTATTTTAAAATCTTAATTATTTTATTTGATTTAAACCTCTTGATTTTCTGAGTTTTTTTTTTAATCTTTTATGTAATTTCTTCTCGTCTAGTTCTACTTTAACTATATGTTTTTTAAAAATACATTTATCTAATTAGAAATGATTCTCGTCTCCTAACATGTTAAGTTTTAAATATTCAACTTCTCAAAAAGAAAAAACCAATAGTAACTATTATGAATTATTGGAAACATTATACTTTGTTTTTTTTTTTTTTTTCTGGTAGATAGATCAGACCTAGAATGCTTATAATTTTTGTTTTGTCATTGGATTCATTCTTCATTAATCAAGGAAATGAAGGCTAAATTTTTCTAATGATTTTTAAGCCAATAATAAAATAAAAAAAACAGTTATTATTGTGGTGGTTGTAAGCCTGTAAGTTCCAACAATCAATTAGGATGTCATTGTGTGCTGTAATAGAGTTTACTGTTAAACTTAAATTCTATCTAAAAAACTTAAAATTTTATAGCGGATAGTTCATCTGATATTTTTATATATTATTGTATTTATTTCATATGTTATATATTTACTAAAAATCTCTTTTGTAATTTATTTTTTAGAATTTGTCACGTGATTGGATTATAAGATTATAAGATTTTCGTTCGGATGGCGTTTGTAAGATTTAGCCTGTTAGTGGCTTCCTCCTAGTTTTATTTTAATGGCAGTCCCAAAGCAGCAAGTACTAGAAAATTTCGTCAAATCATTATTACCCTCCATTGAGGAGATCAGGGTACATGGAGAGACAGAGAGAGAGAGAGAAGGAAGCGTGGAAGCACAGCAATAAGGGAACACTTCATTTTAGATTTTACTAGTTCATTACGCTTCTTACAAGTGAAAAACCATCTTAGTTTTCAAGGACAGGCTCCTGTGTACAAAGGGTACAAGATGAATTAAATGGTGGGTTAGAACCGAAAAATCTGAAAAGTGAAGAATAGCTCACTTGAGTAATTTGTTGCAAGTTTCAACTACACCAACCGCAGAAGGTGAATGAGGCAGGCACACGACCAGTTCTACGAATATAATCTGCTTGTTGCTCAGTTTTTGCAGCTCGCCTGTTTCTCTTGGCTTCTACTGCTGCTCGCTTCTCTTCAGCCTTGTGCCTTGCTGCTGCTAGTTTGTTCATAAGCCTATCCTGAGCCCGCCCCCTTATCCTTTCAACCTCCATCTGAAAGCAGAAGAGTCAGAAATGACAACTAAAAAAATCATTTAAGTTTATGAACAACTAGCAGTGTGTTGCAGTATCAGTTGCGTGAAAAGCATAGTACACATACAGGCTCCTATCTATCTTAACGCAATCATTTTGAAATGTGGAAAAATGGATAACAAAAGAGGCATAGCCCACGACTAATGTTAGCGGGATGCTCAATACAGGCTCCTACATATCATGATGCAGCTCTTAAGAGATAAAGTCAAGCAGAACTTTGTAGCAAGGAAGAAAAAGACCGCTGCCACAAATACACACCATGCACAGAAGTACACAATCATACGAGCACTCTCAAACAAACATTCCAACACTTCAAGGATTTTTACTAAAGTCAAGCAACTAATTGTCACACGCTTATTGTTGCAATCTACTACTTTACAATACTGGTTACAACAAAGAAAATTAATGAGGTGCAAGTGTACCATCCTCCATAAATATTCACCTACTTGCCATGCTTGGAATCGCAATATATGCATCACCATAGCTTGCTACCCCTATCCAACACATTAAATATGATTGTGATATATTAATGCGAAGGAGACAGATCAGCATATCTCACATAGCAAATAGATAGGAAGTATGGGGATCGAAACAGTCTGCAGTCCTTCATTTGCTTTCAGAGTGAGTTCCATGGTATATATTGAAGGGGCATTGGATCTACAATTCTTCAAAGGACAAACTTCTAAAGTAATTTGACTATTTCTAGACTGGGTCAAATCAACCCGCCTGCTCTTTGCTGATTTCCAACATCAAAATCTTCTCTCCCAAGTTTATCTGGTTGCACGCCAAACTCTCGAACTTGCATTGGAAGCTCATTTTAGAACATCCAAAGAAAATTCTACTTCCAGCTAAGAATTATTTAAACACATGATACCAATGTTGGCATCAAAAGATATTTTTAACTTAATAAAGTAACCTATTTCTAGAGAAAACATTTAGATTAAGATCCTCAATACAAACAACAGTTTAAGTTCACATCACCAAGTTTGTCAATGTTCATTTGATTTCGTTTGAGATAACAATTCACAGCAATCTTGGACAAATTTTGGTGACAAATAGTGGAATTGCACCTTTTTTCCCCCTATGTCCATGCATTTGAGTTCAAATATTATACAAAGTTAAGAGTCAAGAAAGTGAGGGTTAATTTATATGGATGGACCCATCAACCATGCTTTAAGCTCTTGGGTTTAAGGTGCTTTCCAAACACGTTATCGACACTCCTGCATATGGCTCATGCAAAAAGACTTTCTTGTGATCATCCCCAAAACAATGTTGATAGTGTAGCTAGTTGAAACTGCTAGGCAGCTATATATGACCAAATGAAACCCCGAGGGAATCATAGAAACCGGTCCAAACCACTGGGGGATTTCAGCAATTTCCTCCTCTTACACACATAGAAGCAAGTTGCATAATCAAATAGGATACAAAATCATGTATTAGCACTTAGCTGAGTTTCAAGATGTTCAAATTTCAGTAGTATACGCTTACAATCTCTTATATAGAAAGAAGGCTTCTATAAATTCTTATGCACCAGTATCTTTCACCTTCCTACCCTTTTCGGCCAATTTTTTTTAAAGGTAAAGAGAATTGAAAAAAAAAAGAATAAAGAAAAAGAAGAAGAAGAAGATAAAACAATTGATACAATATGACAGAAAAATTATTAAATACCTCAATTTTCCTCATCTCAGCTTCCGTTATTGCTTTTTGATGATTCTCCCATGCTTGAATTTTCATCTCTTCACGTTTAAACCTGAAGAAACGCAAGTATATCCTTTTCACACCGCATATTGAAAAAAAAGTAAGCAAATGTTGCTCAAGTAAAAGTAGTTGTGAATCCTTTTTATAAATTAGTGAACAGAAAATCTAGCAGGCTGGAATGGAAAAGTGAACTTTTCTGAAACATCTATTTCCTTGCTTGAAAAACATTATCTAACTAATGGGGATTTGTACAAATAAAGCAAAGCAACTACTTTCTGGAAGCCCAAAAGGAAATGAACCATACTGCTTCTGGAGTAGGCAAAGCATATCATATTAGACGTCACCAAAGTATTTTTTCACCTATACCTGGTTTAGACATTCCTCAAATTCTATGTAGTCCAACAGAAATACTCCCACCTTATTTCTATTGTACATGCATATAGCTAAAGTTATGCCATGTCAAGTAAAGGGTGAAGTTCAGTCATGTCACTTAAATTGCTAGAATTCATTAATACCATGTCAGGTTTTAAAACTTGAAATGCATCTGAGTGACGATGTGTGCTTATATGTTAAAGATGTCATGTTAAAAGTCAGCACTAAAAAAAATTAAGAGGGGATAAAAAGAAAAGGAAAAGAAAGCATTAATTAATGGCTTATAGTGCAAATACCTGGCCATATACTTGGCTTTCTCTGCCTCCTCCCAAGCTGTTGCACGTGTTTCAATCACATTTTTACTTCGTTGATCGGCTGCTATAGTTTTCAGCGAAGTGGATGCATCCTTATCCTCCTCCTCTTTGCTAGCCCAGGCTGCAATGTTCATTTTACCTAGCTGGGTCCCCAGAACCATTATTTCTCTCCTGGTTTTCATTTGCAGCTCCTTTTCAGACAATTCCTTGTTTGGATCTAGATGGTCATTGGGAGGATTTGTTGGACATGAAGCTGGTGCAGCTCTGCCAGGAGTTGATGGCCTAGAAGAAGTTGGACTTCGAATTGGTGTTGTTGCCCTCACTGGAGTTCCTGTCCTAGAAGGCTCTTGGCTAGCAAGAGGAGTCATTTCTGTACCCATATCTCTCATTGACACAGACCTAGCAGTTGAAGGAGGTGGAATAAATGTAGTTGCACTGTGTATGGCCAAAGATGAATCATGCCTGCTGAGACTGACTGCAACAAAAAACCAAAAAGAATACGACATACGTTCCACAACATTAGTCATTCTCTATTTCGTATAAAAGTATGCGAGGATTAGAACTGCAACATCACAATATTTCATCTAGGCCGAAGGATGTTAACATAAAAACAGAAGAAATAAAACCCCACTGCTACAACAGTTGCCAACGCTTTCAGATTTTCTAAAAAAACAAAAAGCATATGACATCCGTTCAACAACATCAGTCATTCTCTATTTTGCATAAAAGCATGCGTGGATTAGAAATACAACATCACAATACTTTCATGTAGGCTGAAGGTTGTTAACATAAAAACAGAAGAAATAGAACCCCACTGCTACACCAGTTGCCAACACTTTCGGATTTTCTACAGCTGCAGGCATTACCAATTTGTTTTGTTCCATATTTTCACGTTTGTATTGAAATGCAAAAAATATCAATTTAGTAGAGATGAATATTGAATCTATCAGTTTCTTCCTAAAACCTTTGCAGGAAAAGAAAAAGGTTAGACCCATCATCTCTAGCAGCATAGTCGCATTATACAGCCAAAGACAATTTGGAGAATTTTTTATGGAACCTGGAAAATAAATTTAGGGAAGAAATAGAAATCAGATCCGTGCTCCCAACCAAAACAAAAATTGGATTTACAAAGTGCAACCATACCACCATCATGCTATTATCCACAAATTTATAATTTTCTCAGTGTGCAACAGGAGATTATGAAAGCCTGACAAACTAAACACCATAATGTCAAGAACAGCTGCTTAAGCATCAGTACTGCTGTGAAAGAAATTCCTAAGACTCTGCTATTCAGAGATGCCACTGGCTACAATATGATGAAGAAGGTTAATGGAATATAGCCAGCATCTGAAAAGGAACCACATAGAATGGGAGAGAAAGAGTGCATGTATTTGGCGTCCTATTCAGCGACCCCAACACCTTCTTTTAGTCAAAAGCAAATTGAATGATAAAAATGTTTTCCTTAAATGGCCAAAATTTGGAAGAAGCTTGGGAACCAATGCCAGAACTCCTACCATCCTTCATATTCAATATTGATAAAGCATGGATATAAGCAATTTGAATGATAAAAAGATTTTCCTGAAATGGCCAAAATTTGGAAGAAGCTTGGGAAGCAATGCCAGAACTCCAACCATCCTTAATATTCATTATTAATAAAGCATGGATATAAGCAATTTGAATGATAAAAAGGTTTCCCTTAAATGGCCAAAAGTTGGAAGAAGCTTGGGAAGCAATGCCAGAACTCCTACCATCCTTCATATTCAATATTGATAAAGCATTGATATAAGTAATTTGAATGATAAAAAGATTTTCCTGAAATGGTCAAAATTTGGAAGGAAATTGGGAAGCAATGCCAGAACTCCAACCATCCTTAATATTCATTATTGATAAAGTATGGATATGAGCAATTTGAATGATAAAAAGGTTCTCCCGAAATGGCCAAAATTTGGAAGAAGCTTGGGAAGCAATGCGAGAACTCCTACCATCCTTCATATTCATTATTGATAAAAAATGGATATTGTCTCGTGTCATATTTTGACTGGTGAATCATCAAATTAACAGAACATGAGATTGTAACCAGTTTCACACGATCCATTGTCCTACTATGTTTAGCATGTAACATAGGAAATCTCATTATAATGTGCTGCAGCAATGAAAAATCACTTAAAGAAAAAGAAGCAAAACACAAATACTATATTAACTGCAGAACATGATTAAGCATATGAACTGAACTCAGTAACAGTTATTTCTTACTTGCTGATTGGCCAACAGAATTCTCAATCATAAGCACAGGCTTGCCATAAGAATCTGCTATTGGGTATGAATCAGCCTCCCAACTTTTAAGTTTCTGTACACCAGTTTCCTTCTTGGCTTGACTAGAATCAACCCGTTTCGTATCCGGTTCTTCAAATGTAACCACCTTTTGTTCTGGAACTTCTACAACAACTTTCGTAGAAGGTTGTCGACTCAGAACATTGCCCATCTTCCGCGGTCCTTGTCCACCTTGCACCTGACCCTGCCCTGTTTTAGGCCGGTTCCAAGTTGGGCTTGGTATCCACTTCTGGGCATCATCCCATTTGGATGGTGCAGGTTTTGAGAACGTAGCAAGGGGCACTCTTTGCGGGGCCCGCTCTGCCTTCTGAAAATCAAAGATCGAGGAGGGCATAATTGCAGTATCATGGCCAATTTCGTAATCTAAAGATGGGACTTCCTGGCTCCTAATTCTTGAATTGACAAAAGAGTGATCCTTCAATCTACTACCATCACTAACCATCTGTGATGCAGCCCTGGAATCAGCTGTAGTTGAAGTAGAGCATTCGGGAAGTACACTGACAACATCTACATCTTTACAATTATCAGAACCGCTGCTACCACCTACATGCATTATGAAATATAGATTCAAGTTTGCTCTGGAATCTTCCATTCTTATTGAATATCAAATGCAGAAACATAATCCAATTGGATCCCTTAATTCACACCTTTAAGGCCTTGCCTGGCTGAATCTCACATTTCATGGGTTTTTTTTTTAAAAAAAAAACAAACCACAGACACAGACATATTAAAGAATAAAAAGAGAGAGAGAGAGAGAGGCCCTCGCTTACCAGTTTCATCAAGGTGGTTAAGTTGAGATCTGAAGGCGTAAGCAGATTCAAGCTCTTCGTCTTGTTCTTGTTGTTGTTGCTTTCTCTTCTTTTCCACTCCCAATAACATATTTCTCAGTTTCCCTGGCGACAATCCTCCTCCTCCCTGTTTTCCACCCCGATTACAACTGAATTAGTATTGAGTCCATTTTTTTCTCAAAAAAGAAAAAAAAAATCAATTGTAGGGTTTTGGCGTGAATGTGTTGACAGATCAAAGGCCAAGAAGGGAAAAAAAAAAAAAAAAAAACAGAGAGGGAGGGAGAGAGATGGTTATTTTTTGAAAAGGAAATGGTGAGCAATTAATAAAGCACATTGGATGAAGAGAAAGTAATAAAAAGAAAACAAAATGATGATGAAATTAATAATTACCTGAGGCTTTTGGATCCTTTCGTAATCCATTCTTTCTTCACGCTAAGCTGTTTCAGGCAAAAATCATTCTTTTGTACATTGTGTGTGCTGTTTGCCTTCCTTTGCTTGTTTCGGCGTATTTTCCGTTTCTCAGACTGATGAGTGAAGAGTCACTTCAGCTGACAAATGTTGGAGTTTGGACCTCTACTCTGGTCTAGACAGGCAGGAAGGCCTTTGCAACCCTCTATGCTCTACACAGTGTTTTCCTTGGGATTTTCTTTGACTCTGGTCAAAAGATACTGACATTGTTCCATTGCAATATAAGAAACCGCAACCAAACTCGACTGGTTTTGGTAAATTATGCTTTCATCCCTAACGTTTTGATGAGGTTACACTTTAGTCTCTAAGTTTCAAAAACCTGCTTTGTGGCTCTTCAATGTTTAATTATTACCATAAACAGTTAGACATCGGTCCCTACGTTCGTAGGGTTTCACCTCAAATGGAAAATTTTTACCCGATTGGGGGATAAAAATATCCTTTTCTTTCCTTTTTATCTATCTATACATCTTGACGCCATTTCGTTTCGACGACTCCTCTTTTTTTTCTTTTTTCTTTTTTTTATTGTATGATAAGAAATACCATCGAATGATTGAATCGACTTGCAGGTGAATTAAGATTGAATCTTTTTGGGAAAAGGTCCGTCTATCCTTGAGGAGCCATGCTCCCATTCCCCATAACGTCTTTCTTGTTTTTTTTTTTTTTTTTAATAATCGGACGATAAAAAAACAAACATTGAACTAATTTACACGGTAATTAAAATTAAAATATATATTAAAGATGGTCGCGTACTGTGCCGTTGAGGGACCCGTGAATTTTTGTAATTTTTCTTAATGGATCCGGCCATGGAGTGCCCTTGGGGCATTTGTTAAAGTAATCTGATATTTCAAATCATTCTTCTTTATTTGTATTTTAGTTATAAAATTTAGTGTGAATACTTAAAAATATTACCATATAAAATAATACTTACTTAATGTTTATAATCAAAACCATTTATTTTCATTTAAATGTTTTATTTTCATGCTTTCTTGTCACAATCCAACAATAAATGAAAGTCCACTAAATACATATAGATGATACTTATCATATACCCTAATGAGAGAAAATTTTGCATTTTTTAATTATATAGATGTTCTAAACGGATGAAGTGATGACTTTCATATTATGATTGTTGATGAAGTGGCTTCCAATCCTAAACTAATCATGTAGTGATTCTAACTCAATAAATATTGATTCGACTCGTGAGTACTTATAAATAAGTTTTTATTTGATGGTTGAAGGGTTCTTTAATAACTAAATTAGCTTATGAAGAGAAATGTTTATCCCGAATGGATTGTTAAGATATTAGCTCTTATATGTAGGTAATAGTTAATATTATAGCTATTTTGAGTTTCGAATGTAGAATTTATAACATTTGGCTTATTAACCCTTATATGGGAGAATATGTGACAAAGTTGCATGGAGTGGATAATAGAATTGTCTCTTTTTTTATGTTCAACGAGTCTTTAGCATTTCTTTTGAGGGTTTGGGATTTTTTTAGGTGATTGTCATTGTCCGACAATACGTGTACAAACATAGTTGGTGATAATATAATACGAACATTTCAAGAAGTCATTTCTTTATCAAATGAATGCCTTTTTTTGTCTAGTAAATGGATAAGAAGGCATTTTTTTACTCGAGTCATTCGTCTATGCTAATTCCGTCGACTTTGTCTACTTGTGTTAGCCGTTGCGGCTAGTCGAGATCAACTATATTCATGGCAAATTTTTATACGTGTGGTATTTAAGTAGAGTATGGTAACACGTGTCATGATTACGATCATATAAGTATATCGACAATTTGATTAAGTCCTTGAAAGTATATTTGGCAAAGACTCAATCTACATTTGAGCTTTCCTATAAGATATTTGGTAATGTTCAAGACACTTAGTAATTTTTTACTTGTCTTTTTCATATTTGACTTTAGTAGGCATATGGAATGCTCATTTAATGCTTGTAACTCGATAAATATGCAATCATATGGAAAAACCAAACACTCACATGTGAAAGCATCTACAAAAATAGAATACTCATTTAATGCTTGTAGCTTCGATAAATATGCAAATTTTTGTTTTTTTTTTACTAGTGTGCCTTTCGAGAGTTGATGGTGATTACTAACAGATTAATGGTTGCCTAAAGATTCTCAAAGAAAATGCTACCGCAAAAATATTTTTAGGAAAATTCTTTTTTTAAACGTGAGAAATCTTGGCGGACTAATGCTTTTGGAGGATAATTTAGTCTATTGTAGAGTTTCTTCTTTTTTTAGCAAGTTGTTAGAGCTCTTATAGGTATATCCTTTTTCTTTTACTTTGTTTTAGTGTCGGATTGAGAAAATGATAGATTTAGAGATGTTGAGAAATGTGTTTAGGGTTATTTCTAGTAGTGAAAGAGAAAACCTTAATGTGGGTATAACGGTTTTTTCTAGAGAAGAGAGTCGAAGGCTACGTATGTATACCTTTCTAGCTAAAAAGATAGGTCTACTAAGGGAGATGATTCTAGAAAATCCTAACTCGGCTAGCGAATGGATGAAGTAGTCGTTTATTTTTAGGTATAAGAGGCCTATGCCTATAAATAGAGGTTGGTCAATTTAAGAATGCATCCTTTTTTTGAAAAAGGCCTAAAAATTAATGTGATGACATCCCAACCCAATTTAATATTGACTTAGACTTGTAGGAGCGAGTGAGAAGTATAGGCGACCGGTGACAAGTCAATCTTCTTGTTGAAGGTTGCTTGTGAACTCGTAGCTTGCGGGGTAGATGTGCTTAACATTAAGTGTTTTTTCTATCTTGTTTTTAAATTTCAATTATTGATAGGCTTTTTACTTCATCATAAACGGCGAGGTAACTAAGTGAGAGTCCGACCCAAGAAAATTTAAGATGAAGCTTAGAAAATCCAACAAATGTGTGATCATAAAAAAGAACATTAACGGTGATGGGTCATTCTTTCCTCTTTCGAGGCCCATGACAATCAAGAGGATAGGTTTACGTGAGACCTAGGCCCGTATGAGAAATAGAAGGAGGATTAATTTCATTTTTCCTGGATTGAATGCTTTATCAACATAAAAGCTCGAGGCCTTTACCCATCCCTAAACCTATGGCTCAAACCAGGTGTTGACAACAATGTTTATTTTGTGAAGAATGGGTCTTTTAAATATAGCATTATACACCAAACTCATCTCTATGGCCATGAAGATAAGGTTTATCATTACATTTTTAAAAGAGATACCCATAGTCATTGGAATTAAGATTGTCCCCTCTATTAGGACTTCTCTTCCTTATGTGCCTCTTTTGTCCCTCTTAAAGGACTTTATATGAGGCATGAGAGAGATGGAAGAGACATAGTGAAGGAATTATAGAGGAATTAAAATTGCTCCAACCATCCACCATTGTAAAAGCTATTTAGATCGAAGTTCTTCAACAATAAAAGAGTTTTTTATCTTTTCCTTTTTCTCACTATACCTATGAATATGTTTGGTTTTTATTATATAATTAATTTAGTTACGAAGAACTAAATTTTCTTTACTACGACTTTTGAGGTAGCTTAAATCATTGACAATTTATATCTATTCGATTTGATTTTCTTTATTTATACAAAGATTTATTATTATTATTATTATTAAAGCTTTTGAATATTTGGCCAATATTTGATTGATTTGTGATTATGGAATGAGTCCGAAAGAAAAAATTTATGATTTAACTTAGGTAATAAACTCAATAAGAATATAGTTAGAATGAAAGTAAAGACTTTACTTTTATGGGCTTAGATTGAATGACCATGGATCTTAAGAAATTATTTCATGCTTATTATTGATATTAGAAGATAGATAATAAGTTTTGATCAATATGTTTGGTATGATTTGGAAAAAAATATCAACTAAGTTAGGGTTGTTCAATCATTGTATGAATGATTAAAATTAGATTATCAATCGAATAAGTTAAACAGAGTTGGTTTACGTGAAATCAAAATATTACGATACTTGATTAATATTACTTGCTTTTTTATTATTTCTTACTTTGCTTGAAATTTAATTTACTAGTCTTGTTTTGTTTACTTTGGTTTAATCAAAACCTTTCTAATAGTTTAATTAATTAAAGGATTAATAAAATTTTGGTAGTCGGTAACAATTTATTTGAGAGTGATATCTTATTCATTATTTTATTACTTAGTCAATTTTGTATACTTGCGAATTTCTTTACTAGCAAGCCACTTGTACTCTTTTCGTCTCGTTGGAACACTATGAATAAGTCAGCAAAACTTCTTTTGATAGGGATGTAAGTAGAAAAATGTGTGATCGGCTTAGAGCATAAATCTTTAAAGCTGATGATCGAATGAAAATCCAAGTTGTTATATCATTTTCTCACCACCCTTTAGAAGAATATGGGAATCACTTTACACATAGTGTCTAAGCTTCACATAACTAGCCTAAGGTTTTTTTAGACATTCTATACATGCTTCGAGTATATCTATCATGCCATCATACATATACAAGTTCATCTTTCTAACCGAGAACTCTCTTAGGAGTCTACATTTAAGATGTAGAGAGCAAGTAGGAAGGCTGAATATTATGGCTATAGTGGCTTGATCTAGTTTGAATGGCGATAACGAGTTTTATTTTTGCTCGTTAGTATTTAGGTTTCATGCTCACTTATGAAGGTTTAGAAGGAGGATAAACTACTAATGTATTGCTTTTTATGTTAGCTTTCTAGCGAGTGTTGTGCCTACATTAAGCAACGTATCGTCATACATATGCTATGTTCTTTCATCTATCCTCTTATATCTATGAATGCCTTAGCTAGCTAATTTTTTATAGTTATAGTGAGAGTAACTTTTTTGTGATTTTAGAAAACCATGATGTTCCCTTCTCTCGACCCTTCTCTCACTTATGCTTGGATAAATTTTCTTTAGTCGAGTGTAGGGCTTGTCTATTTTGGCAAGAGGGGTCCATAGGTGGTGTGA